CATCTCGTTGTGAAAAAAAGAAAAAGGGGAGATTCGTTCCACGGCATCCCACAACAACTTAGCTGACGGATGATATTCCGTTTCACAAGCGATAATATTGACCGAGCTCAGGTAACAAGCGGGAATCGTGCAACTATTTGTCTCAATCATAGTTCAATGTCAAACGCGCTCTCGAAGCGGTGCAAATCGAATTAAAATCCTCCGTGACGACCTCCAGTCGGAAAATGGTACCGCGACAGAGAGAGAGAGAGAGAGAGAAATAGAATAGTTGTTTTGTCGAATCTCGTTAGCCGGCGCGCCAGACGAGTACGAGCCGACTCAGTAGGCTGCATGCCCGATTGAATTACGAGGGCGGTGTGCTGTGCCGGACAGGAAGCGTCTTTATACTTGGCCTCGAGGGCGTCTCCATTTGTTCCCAAGACACGAGTCGCAGCCACGCCGACGGGACCTTGGCTTTCCTTTACGAACGATTTTTCCCCGATCTCCTCGCCCAGCTTGAGCTCCTCGCTCGATCTCAGCGACGAGACTAATCAGTTGGCGATCGCGAAAGCTCGCTGCTGGAAGATAATGCAGGACCCACGAGTGCCACGCTCCGAGTCAACACCAATCCGATGCTCTCCGTGCCTTGGAATAATCACGGCGAATTTCTCGACGAGAGCGCGCGAACAAAGACGGATAACGGTCGCGGTCTGGGAGCAGGTTTATACGACGGAAGCCCCCGGCGAACGCTGCCTAAAAAGGATTGGCCAAAGACACGAACGCCGAATGACAATTGACATTTCTCCACGCCAGAGAGCATTTTCGGGACGAAACGCGGCTGCACATGACCGTCTCGATTATTCTTGCTCGCGGCGACGTTTATTGCCATGCGTAAGCTGGCCTTTTAGTTTTTTATTCATCTACTTTTTTGTTCTGGCAGGCTTGATAAGGCGGTTTATATGCAGTCAATTGAGACGAGTAGTTGGCTGACACGTGACGACCGAATTCGATAATTTAGCTGCGTGCTTTGACGTTTCAGCTCGTTTCACTTTTCACAACATTAAACATGACGAATACAAGAGGTGTCAAGTGAAACAAGACGCAAAAATCAACGACAGCGCTAAATCAATAATAGCTGTTGCCAATAGATTAAACTCGCGTAAAAGTAATGTTGCAATCGATCTTCGCCGAGAGATATCTATGACTCATTTGTCTTATGTTTACACTTATGTATGCGTATCCATTCATTTCTACTCTTCTTCTTCTTCTTCTTCTTCTCAGAACATATTTATAAAGAAAACACTCGTAACATCAAATGACAAAATATATGATCTTGGGTAATTTCTTAAAAAATTACACATTGAATATTATTTCAACGGAAAATTCCGTGTTCTGCAATGACGGCATCAGGTACATTATTATATTAATTAAAACCTCGATGTCCAGTCGTGTTATGTGTTGTTAAAAAATTTTTTTTCTTCATATCATGCTTAACGAAAGATCATCTGCTTCCAAATAAGGGACGACTCGCACTTGGAAAAAGCCGTTTGATATTGCGTTCCGAGGCGAAAACGAAAAAGAAAAAGAAGAAGAAGAAGAAGAAGTAGAAGGAGAAGCAAAAAAAGTAGGTCCAGCTTATCGGCAGGTTATTAAAAGCTCTCGCGCAAGCTGCCTATAGGCGCGCGCATCTGTGAAAAGCGTCTGCGGCCGCAAGGAACTTTATTACCCTTGGAGATAGGCGGTCGATATTATACCGAGAGAAAGAGAGAACAGACGCGGAACGAACCAAAGGCTCTCCGCTTCCGCGTAATTAGCCCAGCTGAATATTCCTTTCGGGCGTCAAACTTGTTTTTTACTCTTTTCGGCTCGCCACTTTTATCATCGACTTTGTGCTACTTGTCTTCTCCCCGCTGCACTTCGGGGATCGTATGACGCTTGTCTCGGCGTTGTTATTAATATTCATGCGTGCCAATGGCCTGTAATGAATAGCTATCGCGATCTTTACGGGCGCGTCTTGGGCGCAGAAGAGAAAACGGCAACGCATTTATGCCTGGGACCAATCGCTTTAGCGTTTAGTACCGTCCGCCCGAACAATTTATCTCTTCCATCGGTCATTTTCCTCGCGCGGGAAGCGCATTCGCGGGCCGCGCGCCGACAAATCGAGGGAAAGAGTGGGCTACCGTTGAGAAACCCCGCGCGTCTAACAGTTTTCAGTCGTGCTCGAGCGACAGATGATTCCCTTCGCGATATACACCTTCGGTGAACGCCGTCAGCCTGCGAAGATAGCTTTCAAATCGTGAAACGCTACCTCTCGCCGCTCTCGGATATCGTTAAAAGCAACGACAAGTTATAGATTCGAGATTCACTCGAGATTTTCGAGCGCCCAACGCACTGGTCGCCTCTCGTCGTCGCGCGTGACCAACGATTTTTTTTCTTTTCTTCTCCTCCTCGTTCCGGCATTTTTCTTGGACTGCGCTGCGGCGGCCGATTAGATAGTCGAGTTCCTATTACGATTGTTGCCGGCTCGTGGTCGCGGCTCGCTAACAGCACTTTCAAGCGACGCATTAAAATATAACGCGAAGAGACAAGCCCATGCGTTACGCGCGTACGAGAGTACGGCTAATCGAACCGCTTTGTCGGGATTAATTACCACTTGCGGCATTCGTCGTGCGCAATATATTGTCGTGCGCAATTCGTCGTGCGTATATATTTGTACTTTTATTTGATTTGATTATTATTTTTCTTGCAAATGGAGCTTCGCCGAGAGCAAGGTCATCGGCGCTGTTTCGGCCACTCGGGCGTTAAATACACGCACCGGCGACTCGACAATGCGCGAGAGATCGCTGAATTATATAAAAACATCACATACGCAAAGCCAATTAAGAGTCGCGGCTGGCTTGCTTGCCTGCCTGCGGACGTTCACCGGAAGTGCAGACCAGTGCGCGCGCATGCAGGAAAAAAGCTGCCGCCGCAGCCACGCAGGACAACGGAAAAGGGAGGTTGTTGCGCTCTCGCGCGCGTTATATGGCCTCGCTTGCTCTCTCTTTCTCCGCGTCGATGCTATTTTCGCGTGTACATACACGCACTTTTTCAGCCGCAACGCCGAAGCACGTTGAATTAATGCCCCGACAACTACCAACGAGTGCCGTTGGATGTTAGATTTTCCCTCGCAATTTTTTTTTTCCGCTGCCTCGCCTGCGCCACGAAGCGAATTCGCGTCTCTGCTCCACTTGCACGCCTCTCGGACGAACATGTACGCCCTTTTGTTCAGTCTTCTCCCCTCCTCGCTGGTATGCAAGCTCCTCGGCTTAACGTCGCTTTCTTTGGACGTTGGACGAGAGCTTTTGTTCCCGCGACAGCTTGAGTCTCCGACTGCTCGAGTGAAGTAGTCGCTTGAACGATCCCGTCCGAAATTCATCGGGGACCGATCGAATTGGACAATCTACGAAAGAGCATCCACGTAGACGCGAGTACATCCACGACGAGAGAATCAATCACGAAACATTTGCGGCGTCGATCGTCCATTGTCAGAATCGATCTGAAATATTAGCTGCGCGCCCGCGCAAACACAGCAAGCCGGTAGAATCTGATACGACAGCGTGGCAAGGATCGCAGAAGGGTAGTAGGGAGGAAGGACGACGACGTCGACGCAGGGCCGTGCCGGCGCTGCTGTACGCGCGCGCGCGCGCGTGTAGAACCGCGCCCGGAGCAGCTCGGCAACGCTAGCGCAAGCGCAAAATGTCGAATCGCGGATGGCGCAGCAGTGTTGCCAGGCACGCAGTCAGCCGCCGGCCGGCTCCTCGGCCTCCTCCGTCCAATTGCTCCAGCGCGCCGCCAGGCCCTTGTGCCACGTCCGCCCAAAGTTCCGCGCTGTACCTTTTCTCTGACGTTCGGCTCGCGACTACTCCCCGAGCGAGTGTGCGCGTGCGAGCGAGCCGAGTTTCAGCTTTGAATTCCATCGCGTCGGAACGTCGCGGCGCGCAGTGTGACAACTGTCCGTGCATTGCTGCAGCCAATCGACGTATTAGCGGGCCAAATCGAAGCCGTCCGTCTGCGAAAAATGGCGGGGTGCAAATAAAATAGCCTTTCCCGGACGAGCAAGAGAGAGAAAGAGAGAAGAGAGCTTGCGGCAGCAGCAGCACACGTCGCCAATCGATTCCCTCCTCCACGTCGCGCACCTTGGCTACACCTACAGCGCAGTCTGGCTAGCCGACAGAAGGCTAATGCACTGACCAGCAGCGCAACGTGCTCGCCGCTCTTTTACTTCTTTTTTTCTATTCGCGAGCTGATTTTCCATGCCCGTGGCATAGAAGAGTCAACGTGCCGGAAGTGGGCAAAGCTATTGAGTGCTCGGTGAATATAAAGGATACAAGGGAGATAGAGTCGTGGTGGCGGAAATTTTTTTCACGCTCCGCAACTTATTTTTCCACTCAGAGGTGCAATAAGTAACTTTCGAATAAACGACAATATGAAGATCGTCCAACTGTGATGTCTGGTTTGCCTGCTCAGTTTGTGATGCTCGAGTGCTGTTGGCACGCGCCAAATGAAGTGCAGTGTTTAGGATGATGGTAGAGCGCGTGGAGGGCCACCTCTTCATGTACCGACGGCCCGTCTACAGGGTGTTCGGATACCTCGAGACCGAGTAAGTATATCCGAGCCTTTCGAATTCCTGCATAGCTAAACTCAACTCGAAACTTTATCGGAGTATGCTAATGTCGCGTTGCGCGCGACATGTTTCGTCGATGTGAGATATATATATATATATATATATATATATATATATATATGTAGGGAGAGCCAACGGGTTTCCATGGTGAATTGCCCGTTTTACCGGGCCGACCCCCTCCCCCTCCCGTTGGATTTCGATCACTTGCACGCCATACGACACACGCCAACGTGCCCGCGCGTTTGGCAGTCAATCAATTAGACCCTTCAGGAGGCACATTCTTTTAATACAACTGCTTTACGCGCTCGCTTCTTCTGGCATTGGAATGATGAATTATTAATCGAGAATAATAATGTTAAGTGCTTGGACATTTCTTGTCCTTTGTATTAGAAAGATTAAGTTCCTCGGTCAGATTTCTCCTTAGCTCTTTGCGTATCCATCGAACGTTGCGATTGACGTTCACGTATTTCCATTCCACCCAATTTTGCACGTCGTGGCAGGTGTACGCTATCAGTGCCACCTAAAATTTTATCGTTCGTCGTTGACGATAGCACACAAATCATGAGCTAAATTTAACCATATTTTACCAAAGTTTTATTGACGACCACTGGCGAGCCTAACGGAGGACAATACGCGTTGTCGCTTAAAACTCTGTATTTATCCTCGTGCAGTAAATCCACTGACTTTTCGCTGTCCTCCCCAATCTGAAAGGAATAAAGAAAACGTGATTACGTTCTAACATTTGAAATGTAGCAAATAGTGCACATAACATACCTCGTTTATTTTCATTTTGTTCTCCCCTTTCTTGCTCATTTCAGTTTTATTATCCTTCACTGCTTCCGCAGTAGAGCTGGTATGTAGCCCATCCTGCCCTGCTTTATTATTTTCAGCCTTTTTATTACCAACATGATTTTCAACATTCAAATTGTCTGAAGTTGCAGTTTCGCGACACTTTTCTGTACAATTATTGCCAATTATTGACATCTTCTCCAAAGCGAACTTCAATATATTTTTACCAATAAAATCTGATATCTTTTCATACGAATTTTCGCCATGCAATACATTTTCCTGGAGGACACTTGCGAAAGAGTTCAATACCTTATTCATATCCGTTATATGGTTCGTCATAACTTCTAAAAGCTTCGTCAGTACTTCGCTCATGGAAGCTTGCACAAAGTCAGACAATAACTTTTGATTTTTTCGTGAAACTTTCGCCTCATCAATTTCAGTTTTCACTTCGTGCCAATCTATAACTTCGTAGACTTTTTGCGAAGAGTAAGCTATACTTTCTAAAAATATAAACATAAATTGAATAAACATGATTTCTTAATTTCTATGTTCAAATTTATTTTACTTTTATTTGTTGTCTCTTTATTGCTGACAACAGTTGTTACATCACCTGTCTTCATAAAATGAATGTACTTCAAAGAAATTCCAAGCTATTCGGTATAATTATTAAAAACTTACTAGAGTTCCTTGAAGAATCCGTAAAATTTGTAGCTTTCAGACCATAAATCGACTGCCGTACACTTCTGCCACCTAGACTTGCCAGTGGAACGAATTTGTTGGTATTGTCTTGTTCAGTTTTACCAATCCGCGGCAGATTTAGCTTTATCAAGCTCTTTTCATCGGTTTTAACGTTTGAGCGCTTAATATCAATATGCATTGCCGATGGCAAATGTTTCAACGTTATAAGTCGTATAATACGTTGATTCTGAAATGATTCGAGCGAATAATATAACTGAAATCCATTCAAGTTCGAATGCAAGAAAAACTTGTTTAATACCTCAGAATTTTTTATAACCGTCGATAATTTACATCTGCCAGGACAGCACAAATGGGCAATATCTTGAAATCTTTTGGACGGTAGTTTCGGCACAACAACGTATTTACGAGGAATGCTATATGCGCAACATCCATTCGGCAGTAACAATGCGCGGATATCAAGCAGAATATGCGGATTCGTTAACAGGGACAGAAAATATTGGAGAGCGCGTTGTAGATTTCAATTCAGTGTAAAAGTGATTGCCGAACGATAAATCGCTGCGGCATTTTATACTCACGGGCAAGAAAGTCTTAAAACAGCAATATTGTTGGTGGCATGGCGAATAGAATTAGGATCGGGCACGTAGCGTGGATGTATTTCATAGTGGGCAATCTTGATAACGTAACTGTTTTCCACGCCTAATGCCCCGATCAGCACAGCGAGATATGCCTCGGTGTGATATCTTGCGCGCACGCGCATGGCAACAACGGATGCGGTAAATTCAAGCGAAAATGAATTGAAGCGTCTACTAGTATTTAAGGGAGAGAGAGAAAGAAATGCCGATGACTTACTTGTGAATGTGCGCTTGATTCATGCACGTTGCCGACGTTAGTACGTGACGTTCATCGAGGATAACTCCGCTGCACATAAAGTACCTGCCTTTTCTGCGCATAATCGTACACGATTTCGTAATTATTACCTTTGCGCAGCTTTGCGACCGAACGATTGAACAACAATTAAAATCAGATACAAATTTTTAAACTTCCGTCTTACGTCTACCCGCCCGTGGGTCGAAAAAGTACGGCGAACAAAGAGCCATAACATTCCTCGAGCATCATCTTTTCCCGTACGATTAATAACGTATATTCGCGATCTCACGATGGCATATAACTTACGCAACCTTGTCGGCGGGCGTGTCGCATTCGGGTATATCTTCATCTCTCACGACGAAGGCATGCATTTCCAAGAAATCATCGGTCCCGTCAATCTCACTCTTGATCCATAAGTGGCCGTCGGATCTCTTGATTCTTGAATTACGATTGCCATTCAACCTATGGATCTTCCTTTCCGCCGTCGATTTTTCCTTCCTTAACGATTCGTTGGCCGCGAAAAGACTCGCTGCTACTTTGTAAATGGTAAAATGGAAATCACGTTTGGCATCGACGGAGGCATTTCCGAGCAGCATCGTCGACCTTGAACCTATTTCCTTTAGCGAGCTGAAGGCAATCGGATCAGCGGCAGCAGCAGCATCAGCAGCAGCAGCAGCAGCAGCAGCAGCAGCAGCAGCGGCGGCGGCGGCGTTGGCAGAGGCAGCAAAGACGAGGAGCATTATTTTCGCTCGCATGACGATGGACTTTTAATAGTCGCGTGCCTGTGTTGGCCCCCAGGCGCTGCGCAGAACGGAGGAGAGAGAGAAAGAGAGAGAAGAAGCGAAACGCGCGAACGTGCACTGGAGAGTCGAAGATCCCGCGGAGAGTAGCTGCAACGGGAGAGACGCAGAGACGTATTACGTTCGCACTCTTTCGGCCGAATGATTTTTCTTTCCGCGTCGACATCCTCGTCGGTCGTTCGAACGAAACCTGGATTTTCCGCGATTACGATTTTGAAATCGAGAGGCTTTCGCGCGACGGACGTATATTGCGTGGCTCTTTGTTTTCCACCTCCTGCGCGCTTTGTTTGCGCGGTGAGGTCCATGAGTAAGAGTGTAAACGCTCTCTGGTACACGGCTGACCAATGTCGATAACGTTTTTAGCGAAAGCGTGAGTAATGTCAACAACTTTCGAATTTTCGAAAACACAATTGTTACTCGTCGCGTTCCGTAGATAACGTTTTCATCTACAGATGTGTTCGTTCGCATTCATAATTCGCAGTTAGATTGTAAACGTTGTGTTTTATTATTGAAAAGCTCGGAGACAATGAACGCGTAAGATGATAGAAATAATTATAATGTTTCAGAATCCAGAACGAACAATGCTCCCGTAAAATTCTCATCGGCGTTTTCTTTCGACTGTTCGTGTTTTACCAAAAACTGCTTACACAGTCGAGCGAATTGCGGTGGTATCCAATCTTCACCGAGTCGAGCATCGGTAAATAGCACCTGTAAACTTTCAACGGCTTTCTTCTTATCGGGCCCTTTTACACTGGGTTTCTTAATTTGGTAGTCACGGTTCTCTCCTTCTGGATACTCATAACCATTAGTACGGTCTCGGGGCTTGTAATCATTATCGTATGTAGCTTTCACCTTGCGATAATTGGACTCGAGATCAGCTTGATTATCTTTATAATCTGGAACAAGTGTTTTTCAGCAGTTACATTTGGATGCCGTTGCTGCCAGTCGTGCTTTGCAGGTGAACTGTGCGATCGTGAAAACAATTGTAACTCTAACGTTTCGTCTACACTTCCGTATGAATTTTTAGCCGATTTCTCAATCGTTGCGGAATCAACTCTTAACTTATAATCATTATCGTTTTCGTCACTGTGATGGTGTTTGTTCAGATACAAATTGTTAACAGCATCGGCGTAAGCTTGACTATTAACCAGCAAATTGTTGCTTTTGGGTCCGCGTATTTCAGAATCAGTGCGATTCTCCGAACACTTGTATGATTGTGCGGGAACTCTGAAATCGGTTTTCTGATACTTACGATTCCGGCAATCGTAGCCAATAAAGAAATGATAGAGGCACGTAGAGCAAACTGCTACCGAGGTTGACCTCGCAGGTTTCCAATTGCCTGTCATCTTGTTTATCCAGTCGAGATTATCAAATAGATCAGTGTACTGACATGGCGTCATGGGTTGTCTGTCATCACACGATACTGTCACCATTGCAGTCTGAAATCCATATAGCAGCGTTACAAGTTGATACGTCGCGGCCGACTTGTCGACTACACCTGAGATTATTACCTGTATTTTATTCAACATCGCGGCGGATCCCGTTTGAGGACAAGTTTTCATATCGTGTCTCTCTCGCTTAACTCAATCTCCAACTCCTAAAAAAGTATTAAAATTTTGCTCACAGCTGAAATCGATGAGACATAAGACGACTAAAAAACATCCTCAAACAAATAATCCTCTCGATTTTAAAATCGCTCTCCTCGATATCCTTCGAGTTTTCATTACTAATCCTTCTCGCCGTTTCAATAATTCGAGCGTCGTTGGCGCTGTTCTCGTTAGACTCGAGAACTTTTTTAATATCGTGATCATTGAGGCGAGTCTCATTTGCGGTTTCGCTCGGATTATTTCCCGCGGAGACAGCTAGCGACTCTCGTTTTTTCCTCGCGCCGCCAATATTGTCAGCTGCAACTTCGTACATAACGAAGGACAGCTGAAAATGATCAAACTTTGTTTTGAGCACGACTGGATAGAGAAAAGTAAGCAAGTAATAAGTAAGTTGAACTTTCTTACGGTTCCGATTTCCTTTGTGACGGTCACCCTGCAATCCTCTTCTGCGCATTGATTGACCAACGGTCGCGTCGGTAATTTGAGTTCGTACAAGTTGTATTTTGAAATTTTCAAAAAATGTGCTCTCTAAAATTTGATTTTTATTACAATTAATTTGCACATGTGTCGCTGCGTGCGCCCACACGCGCAAATCAAAAGCTGACGTAATTCAAAATTTTGCATTACCTGGTAGCACGCCGTTATTCTAATTATTCTGCGCAGTAAATGCGTTTCCTATTACGGAATATTCATACAGGCAGAGGCATTTTTATGGAAATAATTGACATGATTACCTTGGGCAATTCACAATAAAATTGCAATGGACGCGCGGCGCGGCTCATCATTTGTTACTCGCATCAATCAAATTTCAACGTCCTTGATGCGAAAAGACCTTTCCACCTCTTTGATCGAGGAATATAAATAGGACAATGCGCATTTTGCGAAAGTAATAAGTCTGTGAACGACTGAAAACTAATCGATCATTGAAATTCTGCAACTAGATGCATGGTGTATCAAAACAATTGATGATATCTACCTGCAAACGAGTTTCACTATAGCTACGTTATATGATCTTCACCCCTGGGATCCACTAAATGTTTTGGATGAAAGCCGCAAACTGCAATTTTAATGACCTGCACCGTATCCGAAAATGGCGCAACTATTGCCACTAATTGGGCCCTGATTTTGTGCCTGCGGAACAATTTCATCGAACGTGCGGAGCAGAAAAAAAAATGTAGAGTTGATCGAAAGTGTTCCGCGTATTTGAAAGTTTAATAACACAGGAAGCGCGTCCATCTGTCGCAAATTGAATGCGAGGTGTGAAAACGCGCACACATCTCGCCGGAAATTGAAATCGTAACGAATCGTCTGGCGCCGACCCACCTGACGTGCGTAGCCTCGTGGATGCAGGAAGCGTAAGTCAAAATGTAAAGGCTCGTCAGTATCGAACCGCCACACATCGCATGTCTTTTGGTCCTGCGCGCGCAATCAATGAAAGCGTTAATTGCAAAGCTGTCGTTGATCTCTCGATCGTCGCAAGGTTGCGCCGAGATAAATAAAGAAAACCAAAACAGGTTATCGCGCGGCCGTGAAAAAGTGCAGAAAAGGGCACGAGAAGCGTGGCTATATCTTACGAATAGCGGAGGTCATCGTTGCGGGTTGCGTTGTTGACCTTGCAACCAACGGCAACTTCCTCGTTATCAACCACGAGCGCTTGTACCTTAAGCGACTGATCGCCGATAGGATCGACCTTCGACACCCAAATTTGCAGCGAATCGCTCGCGCCCGCCACGAGTATTATTACGCGCAGCAGTGGCAACAACATCCTTGTTCTCGGCATGCAGGGACTGTCGAAAGCCACGCGAGAAGCTGCTGCCGCTGCGCGCGACGATGATTAAGCCTATACCTTTATCTCTCGCGAAAATTGCGAGTTGGTGCTTTTCTTTCGGTTGAACGTCAGAACAAACGTGCCCGCGAGTTTGCTTCGCGAGCAAACAATCAGTGGGTCATTAGGGTCTTCGCGCGCCGACAGATTCTTTGATGCCTTGCACGCGTTCATTTATTTGCGCGTAAAGGACGCACCAATCCAGAAATAGAACGAAGCTACAATTGCAAACTAGTACGCAACCCAATGTGCATTAGTTATCAGTTGTATAGAATACCTGCTCGAGAGCGAGAGGAAGAGGCGGATGTAATGGTCGAGTTTTTTTTCTTCTTCGAGAAGAGAGAACAAAACGCGGCATCGCTTGTATTGGGTTATACACTTGTGGCTGCACGGTGCACAGCTCTGATGTCATTATCAGCAAAGCGTCAGGTCGTTGTGTAAGTCCCAATTTCCACACGCTGCCTTTTGCCACGTCTCAATTTGCAAGGCAGAGAGGCTCTCGTCTGAACGACCCTGCGGTTTTCCGCAGCGAGCGCGAGCTACTGCGATCGCGACGGCTCGTGCGAGTTCATTGTGACGCGCGCGCGTGTAACGGAATTCGTGGCGTTTGTCGAATTTTCGCGGGTCGATCTCGCGAAACTTGGCGGGGCTGAGGGCTCGAGGTCGGCGAAAGGAAGACTTGCCCGAAAGGCAAGCTCCGGCGCGGCGGCGCCACGCTCTAAAAATACAACGGCAAAAATCAATAAACGCCGGTGCAGCCGACGCAACATCTTGACCGCCGGAAGGAGGATCGAAGCACGTGCGGAAGCGTATCTGAAATCTCAGCCGCGTAGGTATAACCGCGCGGTGTGTCTCGCGGCGCGCAATCGCGGGAGACAAGAAGGCGCGCTGCGCGCACAACGAAAACGACTGCAGCGGCGGCGGCTGTGGCGGCGTGCGCGCGCGCGCGCGCGCGAGAGAGAGAGAGAGAGAATGGCAGGTTGTCCGTGCCGGCTAGCAGGGCAAAGCGAGTCAGCAGCTGGCGCGGCGCGATCAGTACACTGGCTGGCGGCGAGCGCGTCGAAACCCCTTTTCTCGCGCCGATTTTGCGCGCCGGGCGAGTACGTATAGTCTCGAGACAGTGCCACTTCGGCGATAGGTGTCCTTGTTGTTTGTTTCCGTACCGCGTGTTACCGCTTGTCGCGGCCGTGCGCGCGTTTTATATATAAAATTCAGTCGCGCGTTTTTCCTCAAAAAGATGACGCGCGAGCGGGTGTAACGGAGAGACGGAGCACGGTAGACAATGAGCAACGTGCTCAGGCTGCGCTGCACGTGCACTTCTATTTTAACGAGTGGCTGTCCGAAAACCGCTGCACCCTCGCGATTTACTTAGTAGCTCGCGCCGCGCTAACGACTAACGAGGCGGACGCGCGACACCGCCTACAGTTGCGCGCGAATTCTTAGCTGTTTTTCACTTTACGTTCCAGTGCTGATGCCTCCTCTGGACGTTGTTCGGCCGAGAAAAAGAAAGAGAAATGAAATGATATCGGTTTTTGATATCAACGCTCGAGTACGTATGTACGGCTCGACGCGTCGACGCCAAAATCTCTCTCTCTCTCTCTCTGCAAGCTGCCGTCGCTTGCATGCAAATCGCCGTTCTTTACTTACTGCCGCGTCCGCTCACGGCCCGAGAGACCAATGTGAACTCGAGCGGCGTGCTGCGTTTACCTTTCGCGCTCAATTAAGTCTCTCTTTCTGCCTCTGACTCGGAGAAACGAAGCGCGCAGCGTTATTCTCTTCAAAGGCATCTGCTTACTTTCCGATTTCAATTTTAGATTAGAGACGTTCAATTTGTCGCTGCGCGATTACCGAAAATAATAGTACGACTGCGGGGTTGGGATGACGACGGATTGCTGAACTTCGATGGAAATACGAGATATCCACGGACTGAGTTTTTCAAACGCAGACAGTGATACAGTAAAGACGTTTATGCAAGTGGGACATTGTGAAGATCGATCGTGGTGTTTCCGAATCGAGTGCTATGAGCCGATCACGACTGCCGGCGCGTCCCGTAGACCGCGGCGAAAAGAGAGCGCCGCGTCCGTGTCTCCATCAAGCGTAATCCCGTAGAAGCGGGCCACGAGACGAAGTCGGAAGAAGCGAGGCAGGGAGAATGCTGGAGCTGGTCGAGCGAAAGAGCTCGTGGCCGAAGGCGCCGTCGTCGCCGTCGAGCCGAAATCGTCGCGGCGACAATGCGGGCGGCAACCACGCCGCCAGCAATCTCGTCGCGGTGGCGCGGAGCAAGGCACTACTTGGCCCATCGTGGGCCGCGCGAACCAGCCGCGGCCTGCTCTGCTCGCTCGGCAACAGTGACGATTATTACAGCTCCCACACCCTCGGCACTTGGAAGTTCCATCGTGTCTCGCGCCAGCAGCAGCAGCAGCAGCAACGGCAACCACAGCGCAGGTATAACTCACGAATGCGAATTGCTGGCTCACGACAAAGGCCACTGATTTATGCGACGATCAATGTTGTATGTGTGGCGGTGTTTGATTTATTTGCGCGCGATCCTTTGGCTCGAACGAATCGAGTGTGCTTCGTCTCTCTGCTGAAAAGCTTGTACGTATAGCAACGATGACCGAGAGCTTTCACGGCCATTCGTATTATAAAGCGGACCGATGATTCGCATTGTCGTTGGTCGGGTTTGCGAAATTCTCCCATTGCCGCTCGTTCGTTAAATTTGCCCGCTGTTAATTTCGATCCGTTGTGCCGTCTGATATATCACCAACGACTTTTGCTTGCGAGGCCCTCAACGCTGTCAGCTCTATTACTAAGCACACGGCAAACGACGGGAGCCTCCGCTAGATCAATCGTAATTCGGTATCACCAACGGCAAGCTCGAATCCCCGACATCCTCGCGAAGATAAGCCATCGATCGATCAGCAATTGCCAGCGAGCGAACGAATCCGGTGCCCGCGTCGTTGGCCGATTAGCCTTAAACGAGTCGCAGAGCGAAGTTGGCTCACGGGTGAAAGGCTTCTTTCGAAGAGCGCGCCGCGTGGGTCGCACAGGTGTCGGCTCGCCGACGGCGCGCGACGAGACGCTGCTCCTGCGATTGTTCGCACGACTAATTGCCCCGAGATTCCTCGCGCGAGTATTGGCTAATGGCTTTCCCCGCGCCTGCGCTCCACTAATTAAACGAAAATTCGAGAGGTTTCTTATCTCGCACCTCTGTGTTTTCCTCTGCTGGATTTTTTTCCCCGCCGAGAGTAATGGGATATTTCTTATCTCTCTACGTTTCGGAGAGAAAGAGAAGGATAAAAAGTCGGTGATTTAGATGGTTCGCCGCTGTCTAATACTTCGTCGATCTGTACGCGAGCAACTTTCTTAGGAGAGTTATAGCCAGCTCTCGGAATGCGGTAGAATGAGGAAAGGGATATTATTGCAAGTATAGTTTCGCTGATAGCCGGCAAAAAATTTCGAAATCGCGTTTTTTTTGGTTTTTTTTTACGAATAGTGCGAGGGTGTGATCGTGCGTTACGTCGTCGCCTGGAATGTACGATTTACAAAACGAAACGCCGCTTACTCAATTAATTAAGCTTTTTACTGCTCGAGCAATAAACTGTCGTGTTACACGTCGAACTAGTCCAGTGGTGCTTGTCTATCTGTTCAAGGATAATTAAGAAAAAATTTACGATCGTAATCACGATCATCCGCGACGGTGAGTGTGCAATCGCGCGCGATTGCCGAAAAAAAAAAAATTATGCGCACGACGAGCAACAAACGTAACGGAGCATTACGCGAACGGGAAAGAAAACGTGTATATACGAGGTGCAATTAACGAAAGAAATCATCGAATTCGATCGGTTTTTCTCGAACGCGGAAAGGGCGTCTCTGGAACAACGGGCGCGTGACGACAAATAGACACGCTGCCACTATTACCTTCCCTGCATATACAACACGGCGACTTCGTCTTTCACGAGAGCGCAGGCGAGCTCGACGCGACGGGGATCGAGTGTCGGGGGAGGGGGATCGATCGCCGTGAAGTCCGCTGACGTCGCGGGCACACATGCGCTCGAGACGAAACGAGACCATTTGATAACTCACTTTTGCCGGGCGCCGTTCTTTCCGCTGGTCCCCCGTGCGATCTCGAGCCGCAGTTTGCGATTGATCGTGGACCGCAACGTCCGTTTCCGTGAGAAAACCGCCAGTCGCAATAGGCGTACGCAAATAGCTGGTCTGCTGCGAGCCCGCGACAAAGAAAATGAAAAAAGGGCAATCGCGTTATCAAGCGGCCGACCGATACTCCGGTGCAACGATCCAGCCGCGTCCGGTCGCTCGATTTTTCACGGTTATTCATTCCGATCGGGCGCGCGCTCCTAATCGCGAGACAAGATAATCGCTACCCGCGCGCAATCAAGCCCCGGCGAATTCACGGCCAATTGATACGCGCTAGTTACAAACGAGTTCAACACTCGCGCGCAAAGTTCGAGCGCCGCAGTCCGCGCGCGCCCAATCGAATAACGCGGAAACAAAGCGCCATACATCAATTGCCAATGTAGGATTTCTCTATTCTTTGCGTTCGGCCGTTCGTGTATTTTCCTTCTCTTTCTTTTTCAACGGAATAGCTATCGCGCAAGCAGCGATAAATCGGCTAGTAGGTGTCAGAGCTACACAATGGCTGTGCTCCACGCGCCGGACAGCAGATATCGCGCTCGATTGCGAATCGCCGTTCGCTCTAATTGTCGAGAGCCCGCATCGACAAAGTATCCCCGGGAGGAATGTTAATTTGCGCGATCGCGTCTTCGAAGAGGCTAACGATCGCGCGTCGCTGGCGCGAACCCGCGGAGAGGAAGCTCCTCGCGATCTCTGGTGCGCTGCCTTCCCGTGCCAACTTAACGGGCACGCTCTTGCCGCTCGGGACCACGCGCCTCTGCGTCCGCGCTCGAGCCGCTTGCACGCGCGAAGGACGCGCGACTTGCACAACGATGTTCAACGGGTCGAACGAGCGGAATCGCGCGCGCGTGTGAATTGCACGCGCGTATGGATTCTGTCTCCCGCGTCGTGTTTTCTCCTCGCTTCTGCTCCGACAATGGATGCACCTGAGATGTTGACGACCCAGAAAACAACGGCAAATCTTAGCTTCTTTTTCTGGGTGCGTCCAACTCTGCTGGCGCGCGAATGATATCGGATTAATATTGGGATATATTTTTATTTGTATATCGAGGTTGCCGCCTGTTGGGATAAAGCATCTTCCTACGCGGAAACTTACTTTGCGTTCACTCGGAATATTTTATTTGGAAGAAAATAGCTTCTATGACGTTGAAGTGTATAGTCACCCAGAAAATTTTAATTCGACTAAGAGTATACGGAGAAAATTACTTTTTCTAAAAGAACTGAACAAATTATTGATGTGAAGCGGGGTAAAAATAAAAATGAAAACACGTAAATCGCAACTCAAAAAATAATCTTCCCATTAAAAACATTTATACGTCTTCGCGTCCACTCGTGTACTGGCGCAACACATTCATTGCTGCGAGTATAGAAGAACGCGCACCCGCACATCCTCTACAAAGGCAGGGAGAATAATAGTAACATATTGGAATAAACACAGCGTCTTTCACGCAAACGGTGACAAGAAGTGGAAAAAAAAGAAGAAGAATCTAGCCGCGTTGCACGATCGCGCGCACGCACCCGTAGCATATAAAGCTGGCGAAAGCGCATAGCTGTATAGCTATATTGGTGCGGCATATCGGGGTGTGCGTCACGCTGGCTGGCAAGCCGCGCGCGCGGTGCATCGGCCCGACGACGCACAAGGGCAAGCTGCATTGCAATTTCATGAATGCAAATGCGCCCAGATGAGCTTTGCTCCTGTTATCCCCCTTTACCTCTCGTTCCTCCTCGCTCCGCCAAGTGCAACGCACCCACCGGTCTCCCGCTCGTGCCTCTCTTCCCGAATTTTTCACGACCACCGGCTAGTCGATCGAAACGCCGCTCGTCTCCATTGGCCGAGCCGCGCCGCGACGAGAGATCGCTGCCCTTCTCGCGTATCCGCGAGCACGCGGTAATTGCGCCTCCTACATAAATATAACAGCGCTGCATAATTGCGCGCGAGCGCAGGTGCAGTCTCCTCTCTCTTTCTGTTCAGCTCTTGCCGCTAATGAGTTGCGAATGCTGTCTGCGCGTGTGTACCTACGTGTGGCGCGTTACGGCTAGAAACGCTTACGTTGTCGTAGCAAGCAGAGCTTTCGCGCAAAATGCCCTCTTACGGCAAATTCTTTCTCGCTTTCGCGATCGTCTGCGTTACTTTTACCGAGTGTGCAATCTACATTGCAGTGTTATTGATCGGAATATCCAATTTCGATTGATTTTAATGCCAAGTAATTTTTGAGATGCGATCCCGATCGTTAAGCGAGATGTACTAAAACAGAGTGTCGGGCGTTCGTCACCGAGCGTTGACTATTGAAATGGCTCTTCGTTTACTGCAATTTATTTATTGGTATAATTTGTTGTTTAACCTTCGACGGGTATTCGGTTTTCCCCAGCATTCCCGATAAAGCACTCGAAACGCATGCGTCGATATTCGCGCCGCGCCAAATATACGCATTCGGGAGAGAAAGGGATCGACGTATTATTTCGATAATGCGATATCGCGCCGACTCCTTTCTCTCCGCTCTCAGCCACAATTCCGCCCGCAAGAATTAAAAAGATAATGGCACGATGCGCGAGTGCAAAAGTTCCACGAAGCGCCTGATTAGGGTCATTGTGATCTTGCCTCTTTTTCTCCTCCCTCTCCGCACGCGCCGTTCTCCATTATGTTTTTCTCGCGCTGTGCGACGGCACACTCGTCCAAATTGAAGAAGAAGCGCGCGCGCGCTCCTAAAACTCGCCTGTCGCACAGAGAGAAAAAGAAGAGACGGACTCGTCGATAGCGTCGTGATTGAAAACTCGCGAGCGGCAATTGAATGCACAAGCTCGAGCGAAGGCAATTGGCATCGCACTCGCTAAAGCGATTTGAAAGCGAAGCACACATAAGAAGATTTCGAGCTGCATGTGGCGGCGCCGTCGCCACACACTCTCGGGACTTCTTTTTTCATTAGATCATCGGCTGCGCTCTCTCTCTCTCTCTCTCTCTCTCTCTCTCTCTCTTTGACGTCATGTATCCGTATGTGTGTGTGCGCGCGCGCGCTTTGTCGTGTCCTTCAGTGGTCGACCGGCTGGCAACTGTCGCGGACGCAGCGAAACGATACGGTTCTTTTATTGCGTTATATTATATACATCTCCCGATGCGCAACGACGAGCACAGGAAATGCATTGTCCCATAATTTTGAGCACTCTGTAGTACGTTTTTTTCTTGTTGTCACTGCGTTTACCGTTGCGTAATGGTGTGTGTTTTTTTTTTGTACTTGTCGAAGCCGATTCTTGCAAACGCGCGCCACTGGCGTTAGCGAGAACGTTAGCGTGTGTCGATTGGTGTCGAGTCGGCTTTTAATAATACGTGATTCGAGTGACACTTCTCCAAATGCAAATCAGATGATATTTATAGCAGCGGCTCTTATTAGCGCTTGACGTAATCTTAATCCACATTTTGTTTTTCGTTTGAATTAACGGCATTGAAAGTTTAACTAGCCGATTGTTTTATACTCTCCAACATTCATTGGAAATTTAAAAAGTAAAACCTTTAATATGCTGAAATGACGCCAGCAGTGACAATTTGATCTATATAAAACATTCGTTCATCTTATGCACCATACACGCACAAATGAAACTAATTTATTTGAAATAAAATGTCAATTAAATAAAAATCAATAAATCGTAGTAAAGGCAGATGTTCTGTGTGTTTATGTGCAGCCATGAGGGTATGAGCGCTGGCGGCGATGGCAGCGGCGACGGTGGTCTCGGCGGGGTACAAGGAGGCAGAAACACACCACCCCATGGATCGCCCACCCCCATGGACAAAGCCACCCTTAAGGTTCATCTCCCTAATGGTAAGCGCAACGTGCCCCGCGCATCAGCTTTTATATTATTTCGTAAGAATCGAAACTACAGCAACGTTGAGTGGGACTTGCTTTAAACCTGCGCTTAATTCACTCCGCTTTTCACCATTTTTATCCGGACTGTGAGCGTTGTTTCGTTGAGGCTGGCTTTGGAACGCGATGAAAATACGATTTTGCGTTTCAAACAACGAGAATGTGAAATTTCAGTTGTCTCACAATGTCGTCACTATCATTGAGTTTTATATAGCAAATTCCGAAGCGACTAAAGTCTGTCGTTGTACGCAATTTCGTAACCAAATCGGAATCATAAAAAACGACAATCACGGCGTAACTTTGTGCTAGACAACGATCGAATTAACGAGAGCAACGTCGTTTTCTATAGGTGGATTCAACGTAGTTAAATTCGGTGATGCGATCGACGTGAAAGGCATCATATCATTGGTCACCAGCAGACTGGCGGCTGGGACGAGGCACTACAGAAACCTTTACGCCATGAGGCTGCATCATCCTGGCTCCGGCGAGAGCTACTGGTTACATCAGGACACGACGATGTATCAGGTACGTTGGAAAGATTGAAAAATAATTTAAGTACAAATTTAATCGGCAATTGACAAGATTGTCCTCGTTACTCAGGTTCAAGAGAAGTATGAGAAAAAACATCCGCACAGCGAATGGAGGTACGAATTGAGGGTTCGATATTTGCCGCAAAATCTGAACGACCTGCACGAAAAGGACAAAGTCACATTTTACTATTACTACGATCAAGTGAGTTAGCAAGATGAATTCTTTGTATCTGATTGCTTCGTAAATCGATTGTAATATCTGTGCTTTTCTCGTCAGGTAAGAAACGACTATCTGACTGCGAATCACGTGGGCTTGGATCAAGACGTTGCTGTTCAACTGTGCTGCCTAGAAATAAGATACTTTTTTAAAGATATGCCTCAAATAGCTTTGGATAAGAAAAGTAATTTGGAATATTTAGAAAGAGAAGTAAGTTATTTGCTTGGCGGTGTGCTCTCACTTTGCCTCGGCGAAATAATTGGTGGTTTGAAAATTGCAGGTCGGCTTGCACAAATTCTTACCTAGGTCGGTCTTGAATAGCATGAAACCAAAAGCGCTGCGTAAACTGATCCAGCAACACTTCAAAAAAGTCGCTGCCCTGTCGGAAATTGAATGTATGTTCAAGTTTTTCGATCTCCTGCGATCGCACTACAGGTTCGATCAAGAAAGATTTATTTGCGCGTTAGGAGTGAGTATTTTCAAACAATATCTATGGCGTGAAATCACAGAGCAAAAGTTACATGATCGAGAATACTTCTTTGCAGACGAGCTGGTCTATTCCTGTAGAACTAGTCATTGGTCCAGATCTTGGAATATCACACATGGCCCATCGCGGTGGCACAGTGGTGAGTTAACGTGACTTGCGTGGCGTCATTCCATTCGATTCGCTTTTCTAATATAAACATTTCAATGGGCAGCCTACGAGAATGGCCGAGTTCACGCAAATTCAGGCAATTCAGACTCTCGTATCTGACTGCAAAGAGCACGCGAAAGCTTGCATTAAGCTCAGGGTCGCTGGAGCAACCGAAACTCTCAGTATTACTTGCTCAAGCCTCGATCAAGCCGAAAGTCTTGCGGATTTGATTGATGGTTATTGCAGATTGATGACCAACAGCTCTACTTCGCTGTGGAATAGAAAAGGTGAGTTTGCTTTCTTTCGCGATAAATTTTTACTTTTAAATGTAGTCGACTCATCTCGTTAACAATCTCAAGCTATGGAGTAAAATCTCGAATGGCATACTAAATTTTACATTCCGTTGATAACAGTTCTAATTACCTACTTTACTCTATTACTAGTATTTGTATATATCTGTCTACTCATTTAATTGTCTTAGAAGTTGTCTTTAATCAACATTTTCCTTTCAAAAATTAGTTCATTTCACTGCTGTTTCGTACAATTTGAAACTTATACGTATTAGTATGAAACGGTATATAATCTGCGTCTTGAAATAACATTTCCAAAATGTATTACTAAAAACTCTCTTTACGCTTCAAGCTGCATCTTGGAAAAACTTTCCCTGTCCTTGCAAAGGTTTGTATTGTTTAGAATTATAAAATACCTATACAGTTTGCATAAATTTAAAAATTAATATTTTCACTGTTACTTTGCAGATGCTCATCCACCTAAATATAAGCAGAAAAATACAGAAAGTCCTGAAAAGAATCCTGGAAAAACTGGAACAATTTTGTCTGAAGATTATGCTGAAATTGTTGATGAAGAAGGGGATTATTCTACGCCTGCAAGTAAGTTGTAATTCATTCACAAATTTTCAAGTTTTAATATCTTTATTACTAGTATGCATCACTAAGTGCTCAAATAAAATCATATATGAAATTTAAAATATCTCAAAAGCATATTTATAAATTTTTAGCCCGAGATTATGAAATCGTTAGAAATCAAGTGGAACTAGGAGAAATAATTGGCGAAGGACAATTCGGAAACGTTCACAAAGGTTCTTATAAAGGACGAGATGGTCAAGTTATTCCAGTAGCTGTGAAAACTTGTAAAGTGGATGCTGACTTGGCTACTTCTGAAAAGTTTCTCGAGGAAGCATGTAAGCATAGAGAAAATACTTAAACACTCATTATTACGGACACAAATGCTTTCTAAATATCCTAATGTTTCTATATTTGAATAAATATGACGAAAGCTTTGAATAAATTAGGCCTTTTAACTTCAGTTTTAAAAATAGTTAAAGTGTCAATTTATTTTCTAAGCTTGTAAGAAACAGTGTTTTTTTACAAGCATGTTTCAAACGAACAAACTTACGTATGGTATTCCGTGAATAAGATAGCATCAATTCTAATGTATCTTTTACTATGAGTATCCTTTACTGATTGCCTCATTAATTGCTGATTTGTTCTTCCTAAAAAAATCCATGGTAATGCGTGGTGTACAAATATTTACGAATTTGGACGTGAAAACAATACATTCAATATACTATAATTTTACAGCATGCTTACTAATTTTGATATTTTTATCTTTGTTGGTAATTAACATTATTATTACGATTGCTATTTTCATTAGCTACGATACCTAATCTACGTGATATTTCGCTTGATAAAAATAGAAAAATCTAACGTATTACATAAAATTTAAATACGATTCAATCAAATACCGCGCTATGAGATCCACACCGAGAAAAGAAAGAAAGAAAGAAAGACTTGTGCAATTTTACTTGATAACGTAATGACGCAAAGAAGCTAGGATTGCGAGTAAAACGAAGATGTAAACAGTGCGAGTGATTTCTTTCGACTTGTATCTTTAGTAGAAACATTCACAAATTTTGATTTTGATGTATACACTTGCGTGTATAATTCAGTTCCCACTCTATACTAAAATAACCTAAAATTCAAAGTTTTCTAGTTTCATCTTTAATGGACATAGAAAAACTCGCGGGGTTAATTTTAAAGAATGAAGCAATGACTTTCATATTCCATTGGTTTTTTTAAAATTGAAATTCGCATTTTTACATTAAAAAACTAAACTATTTTTTTTTTCATTTTTTACCCCTCGTAAAAAACATCTTCTAACTTTTGAACGAGTAAATCCATTTTTTTTAAATTAGGTGGATTTTTTTTTCATTTTTCATCAGATTTTTTTCTACAAACTTTTTTTAATTAAAATAGTCAAGTTACTAATGGAAAGAACGTCACTATTTAATTACATTTAAAATATTTTCTCCAAGAAATTTATATCCAAGCAAATTCTTATTATTATTTTTGATATATAAGAGCATATTGAAATTTTTTTTTTCAAAAGTTAATTGTTTTATATAAATACTTATTATACATGCAAAAGCAAACATTTTTACTCTTTGGGGTTTTTTCCACAGTGCATATGTTCAAAGATAATCAATCTTTAAGAAAGAAATGATTTTTTCAACAAAAATGAACGTAACATTTTATTGGCTCGATAAAAATGGATCCTGCCGCGCTCGTTTTAAAGAGGAGACAAATGTGCATCTATTCCACCTGATTAAAAAAAAATTAACTTACTCGTTCTAAAGTTAGAAGGTATTTTTTATGAGGGGTAAACAATTTTAAAAAATGGTTCAGTTTTTTTAATGTAAAAAACGCAATTTTCAATTAAAAAATCAACGGCATATGAAAGATATTGCTTTCTTTTTTACAATGAGCCCCGCGAGTTTTTCTACGTTCATTATAGACAGAGCTAGAAAACTTTCTATACTTATGCGTACTTTGAATTTTGAGTAATTTTAGTGTAGGATGGGAACTAACTTATGCGTGCAATTGTAGTTTCTTAATAGTATATTCTTCAAAATTTTCTCAATGTGTTTTTAATCAATCGAAATAAACAATTAACAATAAAATAAAAAATAAACTTTTTATTAGAAAATATTTCAAATTCTATGTGAATAACATTACTGTACTTTAGAGTAGTTTACATGAAAAATCGCTGTTATGGTACTTACGAATGTATAATTTATTGATTATGACACTACATATAAAAATTTAACTGTTCTTTCCAACAATAGTTTTTGGTTTAAGTTCGTACTTCAAGTCATCGTCATTCTTTTCATGTTCGTACTTCAAGTCTTTATAGTATTTTTTATAAGCACCCGTGCTCGGGGGCACTTTCGGATATTCCAATTGTGGGTAATCGGCACCTTTAATCGACAACGTCTTCTCGGCCCGAATCCTCGGCTGCGGACTCACCGGAGTTTCCATCTTCGGATGTTGATTCTCGTACGACTCTATCGCATTGATCAGTTCCATCGCTTCGTCTAAATTCAACCGTCTCCTCGGACCATCACTCTTAGCACTATCTTGCTTTTGCACTTTCTGCGCCGCCTCGATGTTCTTTTGCCTGCCTTTGTTTCCTTGAATAGCCAGAAAGGCTTGTAGCATTTCTTCGTGTCTCGCGGCAATCGTCGCGCACGACAGCAGCTCTTGAAACTTGGCGGCGTATTTCGGCGTAGCTTCGGACTTCTGACGCATCGCGAACATTCTCGCGTTCCAGAACGACGGCTCGTCGCACTTCGGCGCGTATATGCGCTTGGCATCGCATAAAAATTGCGACAGCTTGTCGTACGTTGGCAATCGCAGTGCAAATCTCATGTAAGCGTCGTCCGATAATCTAGTTTTCAAAAAGATCAATAACAATCGTTCGTTCTTTGGACCTAATACCGCAAGTGCGTTCCTGCAAGCCTCACGAAAGTACATAAAGTCCACTTCTCCTGTTCCTCCACGGTATTGAGGAATCAAGTTCAACACGTCTGATATATTGATAGCAACCTCTAATTTACTGCTTGAAGTACTCATTGTATCGAGTCACATTCGTTGCTGTGTACTCAATAATAAATTTATAAAACTTCGATGCGTAATTATCTTCAATTAAGATTCATAAAATACTGCACGCACAAATAATTTAATTACCATACCTTACGGTTTCTGAAATAACTAACGTAAAACTTGGTCATGATGTTGATGATTCAACAGTCGAAGAACTGATGATGCATACTCTGCAACACTCACGTTACGAATGTTCGTGAAATTATTTGCAGCGGCTCGCCTTGAAAAGACTGCTAAATGTTTCTATTAGCATGATTTCTGTTCCACGTCTCTCTCTCTCTCTCTCTCTCTCTCTCTCTCTCTCTCCCTTTAAAAATTACACTGTCACAGACTACCTGCCATCAACTGTCTTTCAGTCGCTCGTATCGAGAGAAAAAAGGCACTGATCGTGCGAGTCGAACATTTATTTAACTAAAACGACACACCAACTGTCGTTATAAATTTCGTTTATTAATTTTCAGACATAATGCAGCAATTCGAGCACCCACACATAATTCGTCTTATCGGCGTGTGCTCGGAGGCACCAATCTGGTTGGTGATGGAGCTTGCAAAGCTTGGCGAGATGCGTGCCTACCTGCAGTCAAATAAAAACAAACTTGATCTCGCCACTCTACTGCTCTACACCTTTCAATTGAGCACCGCTTTGTCATACCTCGAGAGTAAAAAGTTCGTACATCGCGACATCGCAGCTCGCAATGTCCTTGTCTCAGCGCATAACTGTGTCAAGCTAGCTGATTTTGGTTTGAGCCGGTGGGTCGAGGATCAAAGTTACTACACTGCCAGCAAGTGTAAACTTCCTATCAAATGGATGGCCCCGGAGAGTATCAATTTCCGCAGATTTACCACCTCGTCTGATGTTTGGATGTTTGGTGAGTTTTTGGTTGAAACCGAAAGAAACAGTTTTAAATAATCTGCACACAATGAATCTAATAATATATTTTAATTCTTTTAGTTAACACGAACTACCGTTAATAAAAATAATATTTTTAAAATATTCATTGAGATAATTTTTCCTCTGCAGGTGTATGTATGTGGGAAATTTTGATGTTTGGCGTTAAGCCATTTCAAGGAGTCAAAAATAACGAAGTCATCGGAAAACTGGAGAACGGAGAGAGATTAGCTTTACCAAATAATTGCCCACCTCGCTTGTACTCTTTGATGTCTCAGTGCTGGAGCTACGAGCCAAGTAAAAGACCAACATTCAAAGACATTCGAGAAAATTTACAGTAAGGCATTTTGTAGTTGTCTTTGACCACTGATGTTTGCATTAAATACGCATTTCAGCTTCATAACTAAACTCGTCTCTTTTCTCAGTGAAATTCTCATTGAAGAAAGGCATCAACAACAAGAAAGCGCCCGCAGAGAAAATCGAAGAGTGCAAGCTATGTCTTGGGGTAAACAAGCAATTCAAATAAGCCTTCGCGATTCGCGTGAAATGATGATTTACAACGATCTTATCTTAAAATTTTAGTCGGAGGAGACGAGGTGCAACCAGTAGCAAAACCTGGAGTCCTAAGTCGGCAAGGTTCCAACTCGGCGTCAGATCAATCGGAGCTTTCGGCACCCGTGTCAACGTACATCGTCGCCCAGAATCCCGAGGTGTTAGCACAGCTGATGAAGGAGAGCCAAGCAAGAGGGGTATGTCCCTCGGTGTATACAACACCCGCGACCCCTTTCAACTCTTTAGCCGTGCAATTCCAGGACGAGGATAAAACTCTGACAACCGCGATCGTATCCGATCTCCCGTTTGCCGAGTCTCTAATACCCACCTCCGAGACACAACCGTCTCTACAATCTGACTCGACATTATCCGAGTCGAATCTCGACTCCATTGAGTCGTCCGACACGATCTCTTCATTTCTATCGAATCTTAGTGTGTCGGAATGTCAAAACCAATCGCCTAACGTTGTTCGCAAGCAACAACAACAGAGCCTGTATCCCGGCTCAAAAGTCATCGGTGACCTCTATTCTCCCGTGCAAAAATTTCCCCAGACTTCGTGCGCTTCGGCTGTCGAAATTTATGGCCCTGTCGCGGGCTTCAGTCAGAGCTCCGTTATCGTCGGCAACCTAAGCCAAAGCCCATCTTTGGCTGGCAATTTTGCCGAAGCTTGTTTGTCGGATCATGGCCCTTCAAGCTTGCCAACAGATATTAATCAAACATCTCAGGCGAGTAGCTCAGTTCAGAAGCCGCAGCCAGCGAACAGTATCTATCCAGTAATGTCATCTTCGTCCACGTCTATCAACCAGGAAAACTTATACGGGCCAGTTATGAAGTTTCGGCCATCCTACGTGGCTCAGCAGCCACAAGTGATGTACCCGCAGAATTACCATCAGCAGATTTACTCGAACGTCTCACAAGGCTATCAACGACAGAACTCTGCTCCAGCAGCCCCAATCTACACTGTTCATGCAACGCCTACTTCGGTGGTGCAAGCGCAAAGGATGCAACAGCAGCAGCAACAGCAGCAGAGCTATGCTCATCACCCAGTTGTTCAGACTCATTACGCTGCACAAATTAGGCCAGGTGTTATGCCACAAGTTGGCAAAGTCTTCCATGCGACTGCTACAGCTGTCACGGCACAGTGCGCTGAGTTGGAAAGCAACGGTGCTGCGGCCATGTCTCATAGTCAAGAATTCATTAGCGACGAACTCGAACAGGTTTGCAGAGGAACAACTGTCTCTTGGAATGGCACTGGGAATGCTAAAACTTCGTAGATACACAATAGAAAATACCTGGTTACTTTTGATTTTTATATTTGGATGAGGAACAGCTCACGTGGTCGTCTTATTTTTTTATTTTTGTTTACTCAGATGAATTACTATGGCCTGAGTGTGTACAGATTATTATGAATTCTGCTGTGAATTTGCAGATTTTACGAGCAGATCAGCAAATTTTGTTGTGGTGATCCTTCTTCCGTGTTTCCCCTGATTTTTTTCGTTTTCGATTATCTTGGTTTTAATTTTCATTTATTTTTCTGCGTTTGTTTATGAGTGACGCGATATTCGTTTACGCCGTTAATCTACTACATTTATCCCAAAAACACAGATTTGTCCTACATACTATTAGAATTTTAGACAAATTTAGATAGAAACCTTAGCCGTTAAATAAGACAAATAATTTTAAGTTCATCGTTAAATATCATTAAAGTTTCTGATTAATACCCAGATTTAACATTCGTCAATAAGTATTACGTACATGAGCATGATTTTTCAAACTTAATTTTTACAAAGTTTTTCACGATATCATCTTACCACAGAAAAAATTATTGTCTTGAAAGTAACTTTTTAAAATTCATCGAATACATTTTTTTCAAATATTTTAACGTGAACAATTAATTTTACCTACTACTAACATTCAAACTCTTATGTTATTGCGTGTATATAATAATCATTTTATAATTAACAAATTTTTGGGATCTCGTTTGTTACATTAAAATTAACATTGCAAATTCTGAACAGCACTAGCATGCAGATTAACTGTGAATGGCACAATTATAAGAAAGTTTTGTGCATTTCATGTTTATATACTTGCATGTACACAAGAATTACTAAACCTGGAATTTTTTAATTTATTCCATCTTTGGTTTTTATATATATATGTGCGTACGTGTGTGTGCGCGCGCGCGTGTGTGTGTGTCCTATTGGTTTTCGAATATGTAAATATTAAATGATATTCACATGAATCGATTTTTGTACAGTTTGAATGTCTTTTTTTATATTTAGGTATGTGTAAAATTTATAAAAATCAATTAAAAATCTGGTTTTAATTTCTTCCGCAGAGGAATGCTAAATCTCAAATGATAGAAAGCACATGCGAATTTAATCCACGAATCGAGGATGAACAGAAGCTCTTGGAAAAAAGATTGCTCGAACAGCAACGCCAATCTGAAGAAGACAGTCGATGGCTTGCAAGAGAAGAGGTAAAGTTTTCGTTAAATAAATACTATCAAATAAAATAATCATTAACTTATGTTCCTGTATTCTATTTTTATTAGAAACGGCTTTCGATTGCAACGAGTGGTGACGAAAGTGCAAGTCCACCAGTTCCACGATCAGTCACGGAGTCACCGATTCACGAACTTCGACAGCAAAGTAAAAATACCGATTCTTTGGGTTCTAATAAAAGTGGTGATAAAATTATAGTCGTGAAGGTAAAAGGGCATAAATTTTTATTTTATTCTATTTTTGACCCTAATAAACGTAATACTTTTTAAATTGTAATAATTACTAACTTCTTTTTAGAAAATGGAACCAACTCCAACGGCAGATTTAGATAGAACCAATGACAAAGTCTACGACTGCACGACAAGTGTCGTTCGAGCTGTGATGGCACTGTCGCAAGGAGTTCAGCAAAGTCGAGCCGATCAATACTTGGATCTCGTCAGAAATGTTGGTATCGAGTTGCGAGCACTTTTGTCTTCAGTCGATTCGCTCGTCGAAATTTTGCCTGCCACAGCTCATCGAGAAGTCGAGATGGCTCACAAAGTACTGAGCAAGGACATGGCTGAACTAATAACCGCCATGAAACTTGCGCAGAGTTATAGTGCTACAACTTTGGACGCTGAGTATCGCAAGTGAGTTTCCCTTTAAGAATATATTTAACACTAAATCTACCAGAGCGATCAAATGGCCGCTCCTAAAGCCCGAAAAATAAATGTTTTTTAATTTTTATACGATAATTATTTTGTGTTTATTGTTTGTGCTAAATTCTGTATTAATTACAATCAACTGGAAAAGACTATAATTGTTTATTTCAAAAGTGGTCATTTGACCGCTATTCGGTAGAAATAGGTATATATAATATGTCGGCAGGTTTATTGTAAAATATCCTTGAGACCATTAGTGATTGAACAATAATTTTTCCAGGGGTATGCTATCGGCAGCACATATTCTTGCGATGGACGCCAAGAATCTGTTGGATGTTATAGATTCCGTTAGAATTCGTTTTCCTTATGTCGATAGTCAGATTTGTCAAAAACATAACGAAATGTTGAATTCAAGAAATTCTGGTCAAGAATGCTGTTTGCGCTCAAGCCAGTCTGGTGAAACATTGCTCAGGAGAAGTCAGTCCACTGACAGACATACTCCTGGTTTTAGACAAAGCCAAAGTGGAGACCTTTTACATAGGATGGGGCAGTCTGTTGATAGAGGATCTCAAGTAAGTTTTTCAACGTTGTGCTTGTAAATTTTTTAATTCTGATTTTATTACTAAATGATATTTTCATTTTAGGGCCAGATAGATGGAAATGGCATGTCAAGTTTGGAACGACGGCACCACATGGTTAACAGTCTTGAAAGGAATTCAACCACAAGGCGGCAAATGACTACGAGCAGCTTAGAACGTAAACGGCCGTCGTTGTCTTATGGTACTGGCAACTCTATAAATCTTCCACCGGTCGTTCCGGTTACTTGTAGTATAATTCAAACAAAGACGCCGATTATTCATCAGCAACATCAAACTTCTTTGTCATCTGATATCGGCCAAAACTCGATATTCAAAAATAACATTGGAAAAGAAATTCAACCGAATAATAGCTAACAATAAGGCGATAATTATATATCAAGTTAAACGATTGTTGAACTTTTTGGACAACATTGAAAACGGTGTAAAACTTTTGATCGGTACTTTTTTTATGTTTTTAAGATAAATACAAAATATTGTAGATACATTTGAAATTTTTTAGAAGTTGTTTAGCTTTCGAAACTGTAACTGAGATATTGTTGGCAAAAAATTACTTAAAATGGCATCATAAGATGAATTTTGTTATCAAGCAATTCTTTCTGTTACGAGACGTATATATTACAAATTCTAAAATGTCACTTGTTTTGAAAACGTAGTTCATTGTATCTATATTTTTAAAATATACGTTGTTAATAATTATTTATGTTATTTAAGTTTATAATCGTACTGCATTTCGTATCATTTATTAAAAAGCGATGTAAATATTTCGTAACAGGCAAAAAGTTACCTGTCGCAATATCTTCAAAGAGGAAATGTTATGCAATCTTTTCGCAACAGCTTGTTGGACATTATTCGCAATTTTTTTTCAAATATTTCTTTTTGAGTTTTATTTCTATAAATGGAAAAAAATCGTACTTATACATAGGACAGTATTTAGTAGAAATAGTTAAAACGATGAATATATATAATAAGTTAAGTCAAGAATATTACGTCACAATCGCAACTCCAAAGCTATAGAATTATCGTTGCGATATATTTGTTGATAAGTTATGTAAAGCGACTTCAATTACTAGGTGACACTTGCATTTGTTTATGTTAATCTAATTCAATTTCTTCTGCATAGGAACGATGTTGATTTTTTATTTTCCATCAATACTTATTAAATCATGCCTAAAATGAAACATTAATAATCATTCGAATCCGTAAGTGATCCACTATTCGTCGTCCTGCCAGATGGCTTTCAAACGTTTAAATAAATAAAATAACTTTCTCATAAAAAAGAGAGCACTGCAATAACATTAATTATCTTGCACAAATAAGTCACCTTAAAGTCATTGGTAGTCAGTTGAATATTGATACATGAACGAAATGATATTGTATAAAAGGAGAAAAGAAAGTTTTCGCATCAGAGATGCCACGGTCGAAATTTAGTTTTTGAAATAGTATATAATCGATGATACGTAGACCGGATTGTTTTTGAAAAAAATTGAGTTCGTTCGTAAATAGTTTAGCTCCTATTTGTGTATTTCTAGGTACACATAAATATGATTTAAACATACTATAAAAGAAATAAATATTACAAATATGCGCTGTGCAAAAACATATTATATACGATGGTGTAAAGAGTGCGACTGAATGTTCTTTCTACTTAAGCAATTAATTAGCAATTTGTAACAGGCTTGTGACGTTTATATGGGATGTTTTATATAAAGTATGGAATGCTGCAAAAAACAAATAAATAATAGACGCGATGATCCTTCTCGGTGGTAGGTGTCAGTTCCTATAAAGACACGCATTTTATAAGTTTTCATCCCCCGCCCTCGGACAAATTATATAACTTTAGCTCATATATTAGAATCATAAAATGCTTTATCCGTAAAGTTCGCGTAAAGCAATATTTTTTGTCAAAAATGAGAGACAGCTATATATTCCTTTAAAAAAAGTAAATATTAATGGGCGCTTGACACTCCAACTCATAATTAATTCAGCACATATTTAAACAGATAGCTGTGTTAAAAAAGTTACTCGAAGTACAACACTATTAATGAACCAAAATACTATTGATTAATACATAGGAACATAACTTCTATAGATGTATTGTAACATTTACAATCATTTTGAAGCACTAAAAAAGGAAATTAAATTATATAACATTTATAATGAAACAATTGCTTAAACCAATATGAATTAATAAAATTTAAATTATTGTCATCTCGTTTAAAGGTATTTGTAAATTTGTGTAAATGTAATGATGTATTATTGTAACAATTATTAATTATATTATGCATCGATCAATAATAAATTACATTTCTGATTTTAAATATACTCTCTATTTATTACTAATTATCTCTCTTTACCTTTGTATGTATGTATATGTGTGTGCGCGCGCACGTGTGTGTTCGTGTATTTCGGGAGGACCACTGTGAAAATTTCAATACTTGAGGACCACTGAATTTTAATTATTATCCAATTTTCAATAATCTTTAGTTCTAAATTGTAAAACCTTTCATACACATAAACCATGGAAAATGTTTTCCTTATTGAAGATTCATTTTAGCATACATTTGATTTCCATTTGCTACAAGCTCTAAAAGTATTCGATTTTTCTGCCTTTTTTACTCAAGATAAATAACAAATTACCTTGAATTAAATTTTTTCTACTAAAATAAAAATTGTAAATGTTACTGTAAAAAGTATTATTTTAGTTTTTACATATGTTAAAAGATTCAGGTGTTTAATTAAAATAAACAAAAATATACGTAAAAAATTTTTATAAAAAATTATAAATTTGTACAGGTGTTTATAAATGTAATTGAAAAAATTTTACGTAATAAAATATAAAATTATTACTATTACTCAACGTTTTTTACAATACTTAACATTATATTTTCAACCAATCAAATCCAAATTGTAAGAAAGGATGATTACTTTTTTGCAACAAACTAGATTTACTTTTACTTTCCGTGTTTTGCACTATAATATTTAATATTGTTTATTGTAGATACCCTTGCATATTTAGTTAAAATGGCATTAACATCTTGATTTCGTGTAGCAAATTTTCTGAAAATTCGTCATTATAATAAATTTGAATATTTTTGTTTAAGTAATTAAAAATTTAAAAAAAATAAAAATAAACTTACTCAATATAAGGCGCAATTTCAGGAACTGTCCATTTGTCTTTCACTTTAAATAGTTCTTTTAGCCGTTTGATAAGATTGTTTGGCAGATTAGCTTCTGGATACGAGATTACTTGTTTTCTCAAAGTTTGCTTATGTTGTACAACAATAGCACAGCCATAAAGATACTCTTCTTTTGGTAGTATACAATCAGGACTTCCTATTTTCCATGCCTCCATAAAATCATCATAATTATTTACTGGAACTGATTCTAACAGAATCTTAGCTAGAAGCCTACTGGTTTTTGCTTCATCAAATCTAAAAAAATAATGAATCATAATTTGATTAATGAATAAAGAAGTCATATTAAAACAAACAATGTATTACTTGTACAACAGCGATCCATCTTGTTTAGTTTTTGAACTGAGCTCAGTATATGCATAAAATAAACATTCAAATACTGATTCAGGAATAATATCTTTTAAAGCATCATAAGATTCCTTTTTGTCTATTTCATCTATTGCCCATGAATTTTCTTCAATCAAATCCAACATCATTGGTAAAGCTCTGGCTTCAAATTCAAAAGCAATGAGACGATAGTAACCTGAAAGATTTTAAACTATTACTTTGAAATATCAATTCAAAACTATATAAAAATAAATTGTTATAAAAGTAAGTGATGTACCATTCATTTCCACAATGAGAAATTTTGGAAAGGCATCTAATATTTCACCATCACTGGCTTGTATTTCATTGCGAAGCCTTTCCCAGTCATAAAGAGATGATTGATCTATATTTTTCTCATATTCTAATCCTTTAAAAGATGATGGTTCTAATATCAGTTGCAATTTGCTCAATCTTGGACTGCATTCTCTGACCTATGAAAAATTTTTGGATTATATTACTTCCTTTCATCTTGTAAAACAAAGATAAAATACTCAATGGAGTATTCTATTAATCACGTAAATAAATATGTATTTGTAATGTTTTTGCTAAACTGTAATTAAATTTACTTATGGCCTCAATATGCGAAGCAGATTGTAAATAAACATGGATATAATAAAAAAAAATATTACATCTTTTAAAATTATTGACTTATAAAATAATAAGTAGTGAAATGCTTACTTCTAGATAAGATTTAAATGCACCTACAACTTCTACTTCTTCAACAATTTTTTCTGTCAGACCTTCAACAAATACTTCATCTTTCAACTTTAACTTAGGCACAAGTAAACAAGTATTTGATGTTTCAGCTTCTTTAACCTCATATGTTCGATTAGAAGTACATAAAACAGCTTCTTCTTCTGGTTCTCCACGAAATGATATACTAAACATAATTTATTATGTAATTATAATCTAGTTTTACAAATAAAATATCTATAACAAAATATGAAATAATATAATATGACAGACCTATCTCCAGATTTTAAAGCTTGCAATAAATGGTCATCCAGTTCTAATATTTTATATTCAGTACATTCTTTATCTATTTCAGCATGGGAGTACAAGTGTTGCACTATTGGAGCTATTTCATTACTATCAATATTTGCAAATTTTAATATTTCTTCAATATCTGCAGCAGTTGGAGGTGTACTATTATCAAATAATATTAGTTTAGTAAAATAATATTCAATTAACTGTATGTATAACAATATAATATACATTTGAATAGCAATTTTTTAAAGCAGCACTTACTAGATACCCTGATCTTCACTGTTGACATCTATGTACTCTACCCGATTTTCTGATATATCTGCATCGTAGTCCGAATTCATGATTTATATAATCAATTTTTCAAGAAATTGACTCACTTTAATTTGCACTATTGTAAATAATTTATTAAAAATATACGAAGATGATGAAAGGTTAAGCTCAATAAAATTATTGTTTATTTAAATTGAAGAATGTAACAAGCCACATAATTAAATCATTTTTCCAGCAATGTTTCTTCAAAATAATAATCACAGTTATTTCAAATGCATAAATCTATGTGATAAAGACATTGAATACAAATGAAAACAAAGTATAAACAAAGAAGTCTACCGGCCTACCGCCTGCCAACTGCTACTATTGCTCTTCCGCGGGAATTTCTAATCGAATTGGAACCGTCTGAAGTAATGCTATGTAAGATCGAGTTATCGAAGAAAATAAATTTAACAACTTCGTTGCTGTTCTGTCACTGGCCAAATTCCATCAGTATTGCGCTAATCATTTATCCTTGAAAATTTACAATATCCTTGAAGTAAAAATTCATAATTTAAAAGCATTACATTATTCTGACTCAGGTAAAACAATTTAATATATTTATTCTTTGAAATGGTACTTGAATTATCATTAAATTAGAGACTTTAAAATGTGTAGAGTTTAAATGTCAATTTGCAAGCGTCATTGTTGATTTCATAGTTTCACTTAACGTAAAATGTATTCCAAAAAACAACAGTTGGTAAATCGTTAAAGCAAGTTTCATTTGATGTTGTTGAGTTTATATTTGATATAATAAGTAATTTTACTATTGGTTTCTACATAACCTTATTTATAGTTATAATTTTATTTATTTAAAAGCTTAATATTTTATTGTTTAGAGATGCTATTTATAATATTCTTTTTATATTTCAGGTCAGATACATCATAAATACCAAAAATGTCTCAAGATGTAAATATGCAGCAAGCTGAAAAGGTATGTCATTGCATGATAAATAACAAACAGCTTGTATTGCTGCAATAATGTTGATCAAATAAAAATTCCCTAATAATTGTTACATTACACTAAAATTATCTGTGAGACTTTTGACAAATATCTATTTTATTTTATCAATATGAAAAACTTATACTTTTTCTTTGTAGCAGGAGTCGGGACCTGTGTATGGTGGTTGTGAAGGACCTGATGCCATGTATGTTAAGTTAGTGAGTAGTGATGGGCATGAATTTATTGTCAAAAGGGAGCATGCTTTAACTAGTGGTACAATAAAGGCTATGTTGAGTGGACCTGGTCAGTTTGCAGAAAACGAGGCTAATGAAGTGAATTTCCGTGAAATCCCGTAAGTTTCATAGATTATAATATTATTGCTAATGAAATACTTGAAGTTTTAACGTTCAGTATCTAAAAATATATTGTCTCACGATTCAATACTTTAAAGAGAAATTCGTAAGTTGGTGATACATTTTTACAGGTCTCATGTTCTCCAAAAGGTTTGTATGTATTTCACATACAAAGTGCGATATACAAACAGCAGCACTGAAATCCCAGAATTTCCAATAGCACCTGAAATTGCTTTGGAACTTTTGATGGCTGGAAATTTTTTAGACTGTTAAATATTGATGCATTGGATTAACTTGTCCATGTGCAGAAAAAAGAAAGAAATGCAAATTATAATATCTATTAAGATTTATCCCTTCTTCTCACATACAAAAATTCAGCATCAGTGATAAAACATTTTTTACTAGAACAAGAGGTTCAAGTTATACAATAATTTTTCATATATTATAGATAAAAATATGTACATCAGTAGACATGATTGATCTCGATTTAGAGAAGTAAATGTATGACCATTTAGATTGATTAATGATGAGAGATTATGATCTGTTCAATTACAATACCTAAGGCCAGGAGAAAGTCATGATATTGAACTGCGAAAAGTATGTTAGTTGACTTATAATCTTTATTACATTCAACTAATAATATGTAACTTATTACAATATCTTTAGTAACAACGATTTCATAAAGTGATTAATTAATAATAGTAAAGTTGTCATAACAAATACCTCCAGTTATTTTGACTTCAACTTTTGTTTGTAAAAAAATGTCAAGTCAAAGAAATGTATGATTTTGAAGTTTGTAAATGTTGATTGAAAGGATTAACTTTTTATTTAAAGGAAATAGTTGCTGAATAAAATTTAGTTTTAGTTTTTACCTTTTATAAAGGAATTTTCATGAACAAAATGTATTTACAAATTTTTAACTTACCAAAAACAATGATGAAGCCTATGTTTATGCGCTTCCGAAATTTTTATTAAAATAATTGTGCTTTTTTAAATATTGATATTCTTTTCTTGCATAATAAGTATTAACTCATTAATTTATTTTTGAAAATATTGCATATAAACAACAGCAGTTAGAATTCTTATATTCGTAAACATTTTTCCACAGATAAAACAAATAAATTAGATTGTAATAAAAACTTGAGAAGTTACGTATGTTTGAAAATGAATAAATGTATTTATAAAATGATTCCTTTCTTTTATTTCTTTTTAATTACATAATTTTAAATAATAGCAATTTAATTATTAATTTTAAGATAAGATTTTCGAAAAAAGAGATTAGAGGGAAATCGGAAAAAATCTTTAATATTGTTTTATACATTTTTTACTTTGATTGTTATTTACATATTGAATATCTTAAAAAATACTATTATAGTTTTTTACAAAGTTATATATATATATATATATATATATTTGTTAAATTGATTAGTTTTATTTGTAAAATATAGGCAAAATATTATGCTACATACGAAATAATTAAATGCAAACTATATTTTAATAATAACCAAATCACAGATACCTTGGATGCAAAAAATCATTTGCATCTATATGCAATGATACAAGTTTTTAAATCGTACTTGATAAAATAGAACTTATTACTTCTTGCTTTCTTTTTCAATGTCTTTAAATTTAGCTTCCAATCTATTCGAATAAGCTAAAAGCTTATATGCTGCTTGCTCTAACTTTGTAACACTATCATCAATTTGATTAATATTATCTAAAACAGGCTGTAGTTTTTTATATGTTTGATTGAGTCGATTCAAATAGTTTGATACTTCTTTTGATGTAAATTTCAATTGACTGTATTTATTGATAGTTTCTCTATTCATACGTTCTAACAGTTTATAATCTTCCTGAGTAGCAGTTAGTTCTTCTTGAAGATATTCACTGGTTTTTTGAAACATTGTATTTGCTAAGCGACTCAAATTAGGATCATGAGGATCTAAGGCTTCAAAACTGCTTGTACTTGTAGAAAGTGTGCTGCCTTTTTTTGGAGATTCAAATCTTAAATTGGACTCTGTTGTCTGAGTATTTAAAGAAGCTTTTTCAGCTTGTAAATCTTCTTTTGTTGTTTCACTTGCTGCTGCCATTTTTATTTAACAATGAACTAAAAGACAGTGGAGTTTTTAAATAGATTATAAAGCTATTTTTTTTACAATATACAAAAAGACGATAATATTTACCTGCTATTTATATTATTCTTAACAATAATAAAAATCTTTAATTTATAAACTGTCTGTGTAATCTAACGCATCAACAATCTTTCGATGCACCGAAAACAAGATTTGTTTAACCTCAATTTCAAACAGCTGATCAATGTTGTGTTGTGTAACCAATGGCATTTCGTTTGAAAAAGCGCGCGAAATTTAAAACTAAATATCATGAGTATACACAGTACACACACAGTTTTGAAGTTATATTATTCTCAATAATAAAGTTCAAAATTTCACTTTAATTAATGACACATAGATATTAAATCTTCTTTATAACTAATTAACATTTTATTTTTTATATAAATACGAATCTTTTTTTATATAAAATCATAATTATATAGTAATGATAAGGTGCATCTTTCTTTTAATTAATTACAATTACAATAAAATTCAAATTCAAATCGGATAAGATATTGTTTTATATTTTCTCCAAATTTATAAAAAGCTTACGAAATTTTGAACTTTACAAAAAATAATGGCAAAACTAATGTAGATGCACTTATGAAATTTTTATTAAAATACTTGCGGTTTTTTAAATATTGGTATTCTTTTTTTACATAATGATCATTAATTCAATAGTTTATTTTTGAAAATATTGCATAGAGCCAATTCGCTTTACATGAATGAAAACTAGGCTGCCTGGAAATTACAGTTTTTCGTAACTTTTTATCAAGTCTTACGAGGGTCGTTTTAAAAGTCCATGCAAAGTCAGAGAGATGGCGCTACTAGTGCGTATCAAGGTTATTTTCAGTTAGTGACATATCTTGGAAGAGCACACGCCAAGTTTCAGCCAAATCGGCCAATTACTTTGCGTTTTACATTCGTTTCAATCAAAGAAATCGAGTTGTAAAAAAATGGACGAAAAAGAATTTCGTGTTTTGATTAAACATTACTTTTTCAAAGGCAAAACACCTCAGAAGATTAAACAGAAGCTTGATAAACATTATGGTGATTGTGCACCTTCGATTAGAATGGTTTATAAGTGGTTTCAAAATTTTCGGAGTGGCCATATGAGCACAAAAGACGCTGAACGTTCTGGACGCCCTGTTGAGGTTACCACTTCAGAAATCATTGATAAAATCCATGATATGGTGATGGCTGACAGAAGAGTGAAGGTGCGTGAGATTGCTAGTACTGTAGGCATCTTGAGCGAACGGGTACATAATATTTTGCACCAACATTTGGACATAAAAAAGCTATCCGCTAGATGGGTGCCGCGATTACTCACGATTAACCAAAAACGAGATCGTGTGAAGTGTTGCAAGAATGGTTTGCAGCTGTTCCAGCAAAATCCGCAAGACTTTAAGCATCGTTTCATCACTGTAGATGAAACATGGATACATCACTACACCCCTGAGACCAAAGAACAGTCTAAACAATGGGTTACCAAGGGGGAATCTGCTCCGAAAAAGGCGAAGACAGTTCCTTCGGCCGGGAAGGTTATGGCGACTGTCTTTTGGGATTCGCAAGGAATAATCTTCATCGACTATCTGAAAAAGGGTAAAACCTATACAGGCGAATATTATTCATCGTTATTGGATCGTTTGAAAACCGAGTTGCTAGAGAAACGTCCACGATTGGCCCACAAAAAAGTCCTCTTCCACCACAACAATGCGCCAGCTCACGCCTCAGCAGTTGTGGCCGCAAAACTGATGGAAATTGGGTTCCAACTCGTTTCACATCCCCCCTATTCTCCAGACTTGGCTCCGTCGGACTACTATTTGTTCCCTAATATGAAAAAATGGCTGACGGGGAAAAGATTTTATCCAAACGAGGAGGTGATTGCAGAAACGAATGCCTATTTTACAGACTTGGACGAATCCTATTATTTGGAAGGGATTAATAAACTAGAGCAGCGTTGGATGAAGTGTATAAGCCTAAAAGGAGACTATGTTGAAAAATAAAAAAGATTTATTAAAAAAAATCAAGCAATTTTTATTTTTGCACGGACTTTTCAAACGACCCTCGTATTCATATAGAGTGCGCGTTATATACCGCGTTTTACCAGCTTTTACCGGCCGAAGGTGGAAACGAGTAAAGTTTGTCTTATTCATAACAGATGTGGGGCATTAATTAAGATTTTATGATGCAATATTTTTTAGCACTTCCGATAACTCCTAGTGCTGGTTTTTTCAATTTAAAATTTCATAATAGTAAGTATGGTGTTTGAGTAAAATGATTAAATATAAATGGTTTGTTAACTCAAGTTATTTTATTCCGTCGCGACTTGTACATGAAGAACGATAGTTCGATGGTTTCGCAAACGATATTTGGAATACAATTTTAGATTGACATCGGCTTAAAGCTTGCAAGCTAAGAACAGTTGAACTCGCCAAGTTCAGCTAAATCAACATATGGAAAATAATAAAACGCATAAAGTGGTATACAGAGAAATCCTTGATTAAATTAAATAAATAATTAAATAGATCAGAGACATTCAAAGTGTAAATAAACTATTATCCAAATGCAATATAACTTCCTATACATAAACACAATGTGAATCAACGGTCGAAGTGCGCTGTCGTCAACAGTGCACGTGCAGCCGAATAAATGAATCCATCAAAGCACCAGACGCACGAAGAAGAGGGAGAGACGGGAGGAAGGAGAATCAGCTGCGAACGTCGAAATAGTTGTAATCGCGCTTTGTGCAACTAGAGCGTGTACAACATTGTCAACGTGAACGCACGGGCTGCTAGCCTTAATGATTAATATAGTTCACTTTCGTTGTCCGCAGCGCTCGAACGCACTCGACACTTTTCTTTCATCTCGCTGCACTTTTATTTTCCTCGCAGGGGGGCAAAGACCAACTGTCGCACGCGATGAGTGTATACGTCGCTTCGGTGCAGCCGCACTCGCACTTCGGCAGCTGACGGCTGCTCGCTTTCCGACGACCGATTGCAGATTTGCTTCAATTCGAGCGACTGGTTTCCTCTTTCCACGTAACATCGACGAGCTTCCGCCTAGGATTTTCTTTTTCCACGGTGTAATACCTGGGAATGTCACACGTAAGATGCGTATATACATGTAGCGGGCAAATAATTGATCGCGAGGATTAATGTTCGTGCGATGCAAACGTTTCTGCAAAACTACTTTAACCGTCGCGCGATTTGCAAATACGTGCTTCGTGTGTCCACGGTGGAATGCCAGTAGCGCGACTCGATTTCCGTACCGTTCCGCATTCGTGTACGCCTAGGTCTACGCGCGCGCATCCAAAGCGGAACTGCTTGCTTCGGCTGCGCTCTAATAACGTGGAAAGGAAAGAACTCGGCGAAAACAAAGTGTCCCGGCGCGGACGTGCTGAAAAATTGAGCTGATTGGCGCTTCGCGTACGACGTTGGCAAGCTACAAAGCGGCGACCGGCTGAAACTAGAGGCTTCGATGTTTCTAGACGCCGTGGTGAGGCGACGATTTGAAACATGTAGCAACGATGAAACTTAGAATAAATAACAAGGAATTGACTTACTGACAAATTTTTATTTCTTGCTCTGTAAGCGAAATTATCAATCACAAACGAAGCCACATTCAGACCTGCCGAGGTCGGCGGTTGAAAAACGGCGAAGCCCATTTGAGGAACTTGAAAACCCGGAAGAACTCGGGCGTTAACTAAATTTGATAACATTTGCAATGAATAATGTAAATTATACGAATAATCGAATACATTACATATTATTTATTTTAAAATACAACATTGATTTTTTCGTAAAAAAATAACAATTGAATTGATTGAGCTATTTACAATAAGTAGGTCATTCAAATAATTTTTTTTCCACAATGTTGCACTGCATACAAGTGAATACGCTTTTCATAATATATTGTTCTAAATAACAGACATCTTTAAGTCTCTTTAATGTTGCTTTATGTAACTGATTCGTTGTAGCAAGTATCACGTGAAAAATAATAAAAAGATATTTGAATAAACGTTTAGATGTATATCCAATGCAAAACATACAAAACGAAAATAATTTTCTTATAAAATATCCACTATGTTTAAGAAACTTATCGTAATACAGTGTAATATAAAAAATACATAATTTCCGGAAAACGTTATTATCATTGATGATGCATTGAGTCCCAAAGCTCAAGACTATGGGACCCCCTTAACTCCCAGCTTCAACTAGTTCTGATGTTAAAAGATACAGTCTTTAGTAGCAATTTTAAACCACAAATATTATCTACATTGAATTTCTTTTAAGAGCGTAAAATTCTACTTTGATTTTAACATAGTATGAGTCGATCTAAAAGACATTATCGCCGATATACTGAAGCACTTTTCGATTTAAGTCATATGTGTATGTAACTCGATTCTATTGATCGTTTTCATTTATTTTACATCCTAATCAATGAAACAACTGTAAAGTTATTTTTTCTATAGTTTAATATTATAAATTAATATCTTTGAAAAGGACAATCGTTTATTTTTATTCAATATAATAGGTAGATATTCAAGTAGTAAAGACAAAATAGGAACTATTTGTTATAATCACAAGTTTATTTTACACTCGATACTGTTTTTATCTCGATATTGATCTCCTTAGACAACAACTCGACAAATTTTATAACAGGTTTATTTTTATTTCTAGGTAGGTTTTTCAAATTTGTAGTTGAATGATTTTAATTCTTGTACGTATATATTACACATCAAAATTATAAAATTATTATTTTAATAAGAATTTGTAAAATATTTTCCTAAACATTGACACTAACTATCTAGCACGCATATTCATGCGTATTGTTCAACACGACTAACAAATGATTTTTGTGATTTTTTTATTATCAATTAATTTCATTCAATTTTGTTCCTTGTGCAAATAATATTACAAATGAAAATGAAGTTATAGAGATAATTTCAATATACGTTTAAATGATAAAATCTGACGGTAGCAAAAGTAATGAAAATTTGCTACTAATAGTAACATGTTTTTCGTGTTTAGGCATGGATTAATTAGAATTACAAACATCTCACGTAATTCTTGGACGTACAACAATAAATGGTTTTTTCATTCTCCCTATCAAAATCCTTGCCGGCTAATCGACGCGTTAAGAGTAGTATTGATTTTACGATAAAGTTACCGCAGAGAAAATTTATCGATGATCAGTAGCCAAAGAAAGCACGAGCGTGTTTTCGAGACGATAAGTTGGCTAAAGATGCGACTCGGAAAGCGCTAAGTGCACGCACACTCGTCGTTCGGTCGTTCAATTGAAACAAATTGCTTGTTATTCAGCCATTGATAGCGTCATTAACAATCGACGCACTCTCATGGCCAGTAATAGTTTGTGTAAACAAACCAGCACACGAGACTCGTGCGCAACGGTGCGGTGACGTCTTCAAAAGCTCGTCTTATTCGCGCAAACTCTCGTCGCGAACACATCGCGGCGCTCGTACTTGGCGAGAAATTTCGTTCGACTTTTCTTTTTCTTTGGGCTCTTCGCGGTCGACCGTGAAAATACGTCGTTTAGATTAGTTATCGAGCTTTTCGCGCGACTTGTGACCCGTGACTCTTCGCTAGTCGACATTTCGCGAGGGCGATCCAGTAAGCACGTGGTTATCTCGATAAACAGAAATTGCTGTAGCATTGCGAAATTCAGCCCGCTCACTCTGAATGTGTGCTTGCGACTAAAGCTTCCAAAGGGTTAAATCTGCCATTGAGCATTCATTGCCGTGGGAGACAGCGTCGCGTAATATCGCCGCAAGTGATAACTTTACGGCAAGCGGTAAATCTGCATTATTGAAGGGGATTTAGAGAGCGGTATATAACAACAATACGAATCGTGCCGATCGTCACTTGAAAATGGCACACTTTCCTTGCTGCGGGAAAGAATGCTTTTCTGCTTCGCCATCCCAGCGATCCTTCGTTTTACAGCCGCGCAATTTCCCGTTAGCGCGCGTTGCCGTTTTTTCTTCTCCAATCGACGCCTCGTTCGATTTCAATAATAACGTAATAAAAGGGGGAACCAAACAACGACGTATTTTTACTCTCGGGGCACGCTACGCGTACATAGGTGGCCGACGCGCAGTGCAACAAAAATCCGAAATTCGCGCTCGCGTGGCGGCTAGAGTGGAACAGGAATCAGCCAAGGACTCGGGCATTACGTCGTATCCTTGCTCGAGAGAATAGAACGGAGTGGAAGTCTGCGTCGGGTACAGCCTTCTTTTTCTCCTCTCTCCGGTAACTATACGCGCGCGAGTTGGGCGCGGGCATACCGCTATATTGCCGATCGACGAAAGCCAGCCGAGGTCGGGCGTCATCGCGGAGTCTTCGTCCGCGCATAGGAAATGCGCGTCGGATGTAGAACGCACGCAGTTTCATCGATCTACGTCTCGTCGCTCTCTCTCCCTCTCTCTCGCGCGCGCGATTTCGGCTGTCGGGCGTGCGTTGACGCGCCGTTGGAAGGAGGATTGTTTGCGCGGCGAATCAATTTAATCCGGCTGTAAATATTTCTTCTCCCCTCGCCGATAAGAATCAGCATTCGTCGTACGAAGAAAAAAAATCATAATAATAATAATAATAAGACTGCGCGAGCATTAAAAACAATAGTTTAAAATAACAAGCCAAAAGTATCTCGTACACTGTCTTCCGGTGCTAGAGAAACATGTCAACTCGCCTACGTGGGTAAACATCGCTAACGTTGAATAATAGGTGACATCAAGTGGGATACCGCACTTTTTTAGCATTGAGAAAATGGCATAACTATAGTCGGCCGCGGCGCAGCGCACAGCTGAGCCGCGAGTGCAAGCATCAAACACATAGCGCGACGTGGCCGCGAGTAAACTCGCGACGAGTGCAGGCGCACTCGGAGAGCGGCTTGATCTAGTCCAGATGCTGCAGGCAATTAAACTTCACGGCGGAAAATCTCACTGAGAGTTCTGTTCGCGAGCCTCTCGCTCTCCTCTGCTTGTTTTTTTTTTTTTTTTCTTTGTTTTTCACCGATAAGTGGATTAGGTTCGCGCAGGGACGGCGATGATGGATCTTTTTCTTCCGATCGTCTTTTCATTGTTGTTTGCGCGAGAAATCGCGCTCGTAAAAGAAGCACCGTTCTCCGGAGCGATACTGATTCCCGTCCCTCGCGAATGACCGATCGAGTAGTTTTATCGCTGGCAAAGAAAATAAGAGAGCTTTGGAAAGGCAGAGACATTGATTCGCGCATTCGGCAAATTCTTTCGTATAATCGCACGCGCGCGTGTACATGCAAAAGCGTCGCAGAGCTCGAAATAGCAGCCAATTGCGCAATTGCGAGGACGAGCTCGTAGACGCGCGGCCACAGCTCGCGTGGCTCTCGAGATATTTTGCCGATGGCTCTATTGTTGCTGCGCGCACGCTATTCGTCGAATCGAGAGAGAAATAGCGACTCGCACTCCTCCGCTCCGCGTGCGAGATTTGTTATCAGATAGCAGCGGTGCCCTTGCGCTGCGTCTGCTTTTAATTTTATTAATAGCTTTGGAACGTTTTCAAGATCTCGAGAGAGAAAAGTCTTTCACTGCGGATACAACAAAAGAAAAGTCGACTGCGCGCTCTTTATGCGTATACATACACACATACACACACACACATATATATATATATATATATATATATTTTTTTTTTTTCCATTGCGTAACGGAACTTTGCGCTTCGTGCAAATTGTTATTTATTTTTTTTATTCTCGATTCATCAGTGGAACGAAAAGAGAATGCGACGAAAAGTTCGCTGGCGCAAAAGTTTCGGCGAAAACGCAAGGTAGCAAAGGAATAAACAAAAGAAGCCGACCGATCGAATTGCAACTATCGTTAGGCAATTACACGTATGTACACGTAAGTTGTACGGGCGCGCAGAGTGACGTCATGATTTAAGGCTAACGCGCCTACACCTCGTCCGATTCCAAAGTGCGGCTGCACCCGCAAAACCATCATCACAACAGCCGGAAGCTCCGTTCCCGATGACGCGCTCCTTCTCTTTCCTGCACCGATGTTAGATAATGCGCTATCTTCTAACTCTCGCTGAACTTCTGTATTGCCAACTCTCGCAATTTTGCATCTGAATTGTTCGGCTACGCTCGCTGTCCGCTTTACAAGCTGATCGATCTACGGTAATATGCTAATTGGCCGTGCCTCGCACATTTCGTCTCTCGACGGAGCTCAGCGTTGCACGCGAATTCCACCCAAGTTTTCTCCATTTTATTCGCCGTTATCCCTCGCGAAGCAGATTAGTCGACTATCTGTTCGCTTTATATTTCGTGCAATTATCTCAAGCTTATTTATGTGCTTGTTCTCCGCGCGACATTGTTACGGAAAAATTTGTACGTAAGTTTCGCGACTTAGAACGACCAAACTAACCCCTTCAACGGATTATTAGCGTTTATTCTTCGGAAAATCTAATAGGTAGCACATATGCAGCAGATTCGATCAACGGTGCAGCGACTGCGCTTGCAAATATTTTGCGCGTGGACGTGCTTATTTATCGCTCCAACACGACGAAAAGAACAACAAAAAACAGCTTCGATCGAGCCTTTGCCACTAGCTGCAAAATCACAGCGTAATTCAAACAATCGGTAATCAAGCCCGGACTTCAAAGCTAACGAAATGTAGCAATGAGTGGTGTCAAAGGTTACGCTGCCGCCGTCAACGTGACGACCGATACACTTTCCATTCTTCGATAAATAAAAATTGGCATCTGACGTCGCAACGACGAAAAGAAGCGAAGGGGAAACGGAGGGAAATTCGAATTGTTTGTCTTATAGCACGCGTGTCTCTCTTTTTTCGTGCTGATCACGAGTGCGCGTGTACCCAAATACACGCAGGAATGGGAATCTTTTCTTTAGCTGATTATTTTTTTTTTCTTCTTCGTTTCTTTCGTTCGAGGACGCGCGCATCCGACGATTTCGTTTCGAGATTATGTGGTTTGAGGAAACACGACTTTGCCAAAGACAGAGAGAGAGAGAGAGAAAGAGAGAGAGAGAAAATCTTTCGTCGGTATTTTACGGTGAATGGCTATCAAGTTCAAGGACAATGCCGAATAGAAAGGCATGCGCGCATTCGTTATACGCCTTGCATCCACGACAATCGAATCTGCTGGACAAGAATTTTCGGGGAAATCGCGGAGCCGGTGACGTTGCGTCTTCGGCGTAATTGACAAATGTCTTTGACGCTGACTCACGCGAGGCTCGAACGGTAAAAGACAGGCGAGCCGAGAGTTCGAAAACTTCGCGAGCACAGCAGCGACGTTGATAGCGCTTTTGCAGCTCGGTTGGGCCGCGCGTCTCGATCTCTCACGTCACGGAACCAATACGAGGCATGGCTCGCGTACACTGCTGGCAAACACGCGTGGGCACAAAGAAGCTTGCCGCGCCACGTGCTTGCAGCCGAGATAAGCTTGTACGCGCGATTATTTCGCGTTTGTCGCTACAGTGGCAGATCGTTTTCGTCTGAAATCTTTCAATGTGTCGCAGAGGACGCTGCGACTCTGACAGCAGTGCACGTTTAGATACAGTAACGTCTATAATCTTACATCATCATCGAGGTAGAGCTATACAAACTTTCGAGATTACCTGTGAGACGACGACGCTGTAAGAAGATAGGTATAAAATTGAATATCCCACGTCACCAGCATTCTTCTCATTAGATTTTCATCGCCCTATCTTTTTTATACTCCAGTATCTAGATGAAAGGTTTCTGCGTAGGCGTACTTGTTTATTTCTGGAGGCCGCAAACTATATAATCTATTATCCTCTCGGTAATACTACATTTCTGGGTGGGACTAAAGTGGTTTGTGTCATATAGATGGACTAAAGTCGAACTATAATATAATGTAATTGTCTTTTTCTATTTTACAAAGGGCCTTCTAAAATTCTTTGGCCTTTGACGTATCGCTGACGACCCATTACATGCTTTCAAAAATTAGGTCGCACTAGTTTAATTTTAATTAGAGACGTAGTACACAGACGGCTTGTCGAAGACTAACGGCGTTAATGAGGGGTTTGCTCGAGTATATTATTAAAGTGAAATCCAACGAGAATGCCGTGAATTTTCTGAAAACAGAGCAATAATTCATAAGCGATCTCTGGCATTGCCATCAAATATTCTATGAACGTGATCACGCGTCTTTCGCACTTCGGTTCTACGACCTGAAATCAATATACATACGTGCTTTACTTGGAACGGCCGATATTTTATCAGCGCATCCCAATATCAAGTAAGTAAGAGCACTGAGAGACGTAATGGGGCCAGAAAATTTGTAGTTCTACCTCGGTAACCACCGGAGCGAGACGAGTGAATTGATTCGATGAAAACGGCAATTCGACTGCAAAACAAAAATAACAACAAGGAAATTAAGAAACAAGCCCGTGATCGCGAGATCACAGATACGTACATTAGGTTACGTACATCAGGTCTCGCGAGCTCGCCATGAACGAGGAGGTAGCGAGCGTTTGGATTAAGAAGCGCTGTCTCTCACCCGAAAATAGATGAGGCCGAGAGCGAGGCGTTCGATCCTTCCATTCATATCGGAGCTCTCACCCGCGCCCGAGAACGTACAGCTGCTCGCGGCCGCCGCTGAGGCTCCCTCTCCGGCGCTCTGCGCTTGAGCAACCAAGTGCTCGCGCACTCGACCGAGTGCAAGCGTACCCGAGCCAGAGTGCTAGAGTATCGACCTGAGCCCTGTCCCGTATAGCGCGCGTATGTGTGTACACTTCGGGCAGCGCCAAGCGAAAGTTGGAGGAGCCGAGCGCAGGCGCGCAACGTGCCTTTGTATTATAAAACGCTCGGTGCACGCGAACTCGACAGTGCCGACCCTCCTTGCGAGCGACGCCCCGAGTCTTCGCTCGACGAGCCGCCGCCGCCGCCGCCGCGTCGACGCGAGCGCGGTTCGCTCTTCGAGGACGAATCTCCGTCTGCCTTTTGCCTCTCGAACGCGCCGGCCGGGTTCGCCCTCCACTCTTCCGCTCGTTCTTTCGGCGATGCGTCGAGCTTGCACCCGCGAAGCTTGCGGATGTACAGTTCCATGGCAATTGCAGCACAGTCGACGTAGCCACGGACTGCACCACGCTGCGTGGTATACATTCGCGCGTACGCAAGGACCGCTCGGCCTTTTCTTTCCAGCCTTCTCGAGTGCGTCATTTGCTTTTCAACGCGAATGGAAATTATTCCAGTCATTGTTATCGTTATTATTATTATTATTATTATTATTACTTTCACCTCCCTTACTTTTGGCAAAACAATACAACAACGGCAATTCGACAAGTTTTTTTGTTCATGTCCTCGCGTCAAAACCAAAAAACTAAAATTTCCTAGCGCAATTACGCATATTCCGCCAGCTGCAAATTGCTTATAATTTGTTAATACCGCGAAACCATTTCCGTGCTTAAACGCTTTGCCGATTCGCAACAAAAAAAAAAAAAAAAAAAATTCCGTGAGCCTTCCGAGCGCAATATGTACATTCTGCATGCAGCACATCGTATTCTCCGGCACTCTTTCTCACACTGGAACATACAATGCCGATTTCTAAGCTGTTCTCTTTTCGCCAATAAAACGAAAAGCGGCGACGGACAAAAATGTGCAGCTACTTGCGAAACTGCAGCGCGTTGCAGGATCACTGTCATTAACCTGTTAACCGGGGAAATCCCTTTCTAATTACGCAACATATAACGGGCGCGTCCTTTTCCACTGAGCGTGTATGAATGACGTATTACCATAGTAGTAGTAAAATATACATCCCACCCGTTCCAGGGCGCAATATAAATATCGAGGACGTATTCATATGTCCTACCCGTACCCGATATTGTTTACTTTTGACGTATTTATACGTCCCGCTCGGTTAACAGGTTAACGCTGCCTATGCGAGATTTTCCATCCGAGAACTATGCGTTCTGCGAGAGATATTTCCACTGTAACAGCACGCCAGAGAGACAGGTGCGAAGTGAAAAATACGCATAGCCACGAAAGTAATCGTAGAGAAAGCCGCGATCGTGCGCTCTCGGCCTTTCAAGCTTTTCCACCACGTTGAATTTGGACTGCGCGCTCTCTCTCTCTCTCTCTCTCTCTCTCTCTCTCTCTCTCTCTCTCTCTCTCTTTCACGCGTGTGAATGACGGCTGACTTGTATGTTTTTGCGAGACTAAATTGTTCAATTCGTTAATAGATCGAAGCAAATCGTGATTTGCTGGATAATATTTACGTGAATTTTCGTGGCCGTGAAAAGTTATGTCAATAGAAATTCCGAAGATGAAGATAATAATGACCTATGTGTATTGATTCTCGGTTTTCTCGAAACATTAATAGAGTATCGTCAAAATCACATCGATCGAATGAGTTGCTTAAACACTCCTTTATCGAAAAATACCACAAAAATGATGTATTACTTATATGAAAAAATCAATTACTATCGGTAATCGGAAAAAATAACTTTATATTCACAATGTAATACGAGTAGAGAATTAATTAAATGAAATATGGATGGATCGGTGGTTAATTTGTTACAAAGCATTTATTCGCGCCATGACTGTTTTGATGGATTAAATGCAGTCTACGACTAGATCTTAACAATGGTAAAGTAAAATGCCGAACAAGTTGGTCGAGCCACGAGTTTTAATTTACAAAGTGGAATTCACACTCGCAATACTCCTCACAGCGCGCTAGCTGTGCAAAAGCAATGGGAGCTGCTAAAGTTTTTGGTTAATAAATTAAAACTGCAGAAGCAATTGCAATTCTGTGATATTCGTTACTCGTAATTACTTTGTCCTCCATAGACCGTCGCCGACACAAGTTTTCACAGCGCTTCGATGTGCTTTTTTCGTTCTTTTCGAGCATTCGCCAGCGAATAATTTCTCGTGCAACGTAATATTTCATTCGCACGTTTGTTATTTTTTTGTCGATCGACAGGAATTTGCGTCAGTTGATCAGCATCCAGCAAGTCACGCCCGCCAATCATTAAAAGATCGCGTAGCCAATGACGGACAGGACACGTATTATTGTGCGTCGAGGAAATCGGCATACGAAGTCAAGCTCGATTAGAAGTTTCAGCAAATGTCAGACGCTCGCACGCGCGCACGCGCGCACAACGATGCCTGTCCTAACGAGGCACCTCCGGCAAGTAAACGAGACTCGTCCAGCGATTTTTTCCGATAGCCGGCGCCGTATCGGATCGATGATGCATCTCGTAGCGCTGCGCGAACATGGAAGCGTTGACGCGTGTGAAAGCCTTGCGCGCTGGTAAAAGTGATTGTCCGGTTGAAATATAAGGCGAGATCGATGGATCGCCGCAGTAAATAACAAAAAATAAAGAACGGAGGGAACTTGCAATGCGCGTGACGTAAACCACGCTACCGACTCATCCGTCCTCGAGGCGAGCGCTCCGCGTTCTCCAGGAAATAGAAAAACAACTGTAGCTCCGAATGGTAGACTTGTAAGGAATGATTACGCACGCTGTCCCGCATCTCTATTATCTACGGACATTTGTTCCTAACCGACGAACTCGGTCTCTTGCTCCGAACCCAGGTTCCTTTTGTTGTACTTTGTGCACGATCGATTTGACGTGACATTTTTTTCTTTATTCTTTTTTACTTATTTGGTAAGAAACGCATTCCTTGTCATCCCAAGTCCTATTGATTTGATCGTTGTATCGCCGTAGATGACTTAGAATTGGAATTCCTCTAGCGTCCACCCAATTTTTCCGCGGCTGCTTCGTTCACAAGCGAAAAACGTTGGCGCGAGCGCGAGTTACCGTGGCGGGATGAAAAAGGGCGACGATCGACGTAATTTGCGCGCGGCGCAAACGAAAGGACAAAAGGCGCGAATCGGTGAGAAATGAAAACGGCTTCGATCGACGGTAGCGCTCGAGAAGTCGGGGCGTCCGCTCGAGCGTGCTGCGTACGTCCCTGCGCGAACGTGTGGCGGGGAGTCGCACCGGCGCGCACTGCATCGCTTAGAAAGCCTCTCGCGCTCGCCCGCTCGCCAACAGTTCCGCTCTCAGTCTCAGCTGCTGCAGGCAGCCTGCCGTCGCTGTCGCTCGCTGCCGCCGTCGCCGCAGCTGTCACCGTCGCTGCAGCGTGAACGCGCACAGCCGGGCCGACCTCCTCGTTCTTCGCCTACCTTCGTTTCGGCGGGAGCTTGCGTGCGCGTGTGGTCGTTACAGTGCGCGTAGGTGCGCGCGACGTTCGGCAAACGACCGCCTGCTGCCGACTCAATTGGAAAATTGCGCCGCGTTGTGCATCGAGGACTGGCGAGAGGACTTGGCGGGGCATGAGTTTGGAGTCCGCGATAAGGCACGCTCGTTGTCAAGCTGTCGCCTGGTGAGTACTCGGGCTCGTCGCGGGCTCGTCGCGGGCTCGGCGCGGTCCTCCGTCGCGGTCCTCCGTCGCGCGCGGCTGCACGCAAAGGCCAGGCGCCTCCCGCGCGTTCGCGCCGTCAGCTGTATCGTAACGCGGCAGCGCGCGGGTGGGCAAGCCTATCCCCGAAAGCTAGCTCGAGTGGGAAAAGCTCGCGCGCGCGCACGTGACGGCCGACGGCATTTTTCTCGCTGGCCAGTTTCGTTCCTGGTACGATCGAATCCGCTCGGGAGACGCGGACGTCCGGCAGTGTAAAGGAACGGCCGTGGATATGTGTGTTTGAAGGAAGGGCCCGAGTGCCATCTACAACGAGGACGCTCGGTCGACTCGAGATTCTCTTTTGTTTCGGCGCACGGCCGTGCGTGAGATATTTTTCAAAGCTCGACGAACTCGACGCAGTTGTCGTACCTATAGTTGTCCTGGGTGAATCACGACAATTCTAACTATCTTTGTCGCTCCCCCCATGCGATGAGGGATAGTTGATACGAAGTATTCAAGCAAAGAACGTAACTATCGCAGCTTTCCTTACGGTGAATGTGAATAATACATGTGTATCGCAAGGAGACAGACTCAAACTAGTGCAAAGTGAACGTAGCTTTAACAAATTTAGATTTCATAAAAATTAAATGGACGAAAATGTGGTTAACCGAATTATCGAATATAAATATTTTTGAAAAGAAGGAGATTACAAAGAAAAAAGATCGCGTGTTGCTCAAAACTGATGCTAAAGCTTTTTAGCAGATTGTAATAATACAAGGTGAAGGGATGATAGGATACGGGATGCGAGCGCTCTTACCTTCTGAGTCACAGCTGTGTTTACGCCGAGAGCGCTGCATTGTTCGAATACAATGGATCAGCTGCGATTTGCCATATTCACGTTCTCTTCGCGTTTTCTTTTTTTCTTTTATTTTATTTATTTTTTTATTCTGCTTTATCATTCGAAATTGACGGGTATCGATTTTTCCCGAAGGACCTACTTACTTGATTGAGCGAGAAAGAAAACTAAGCTTAGTTTTATGGTTTTTGATTGGTGTCCAAATTTTTACGATCGACCATCGTTAATGATTCGTCCGAACAATGCCCTGTAATTCCAATTGAATGATTTCTTGAAAGATTAATCGCCCGATCGTAAACCAATCTACGTTAATTAAGTTTCGTCGTGTAGCTATGAAACTTCAATTTTTTCATGCCGACCTCTTGTTACATTGAATTATTTTACATTTGAATTACACCTCATGTTACATTGAAATGTCGATATTTTATTTTAACGCATGCCTTCTCGACGAGCTTTCCCATGCATCGCAAAAGATAAGATCGAAATACACGAGTTTTCAGCAATTATACTTATGTCGATGCAAATTAATACTTTGACGCGAGAGGCGATTTCAGCTTGCCACCTTTACAATTCTTCGCGTATTTATTTAGACCGTCAGTTATAAAGTTAGAATAAATAAATTTAAAGAATGACTTAATCGTGGAATAAACTGCTTAAACCCTCGGTTCACCTTAAATTGCAATGCCGGTTCCCTCAAAGCTCGGTTCGTTAGATTTAGATTCCCGAATAAAGTCTCGACTATAACTGAAAAAGACAAAATTACGCGCGGTCAGACCTGCTAAATATATCTGTGCAGCGGAATAAAACAAAGACGCACGACCTAGCAACCGCCGTGCACTGTATGTGTTCTTGAATGAGAGAATGCAGAGGAGACACCAACTGAATTCGCAAAAAGGGTACGTAGGCGAAAGGAAACAAAAAAGGGAAAATACCGAGGAGATTTTTCGACAATGTTGCGTCGTCGTCGTCATCAAATTGGCGAAGAGCCAGTCGATTCCCGACATCGACGACACTCGCGACAATCAGTCTACTAATCTATATCGTACTCCCTTCGCATTATACGATATGTCTTACTCAATTTTATAATTATCTACGCAGGCTGATTTGCTCTATTTGCCGTATTATATTTTATTTTTTCCTTCCGTTCATCGCGTATTTCAAATTTCTATTTATCAAAGTTCGCATTGCTATCTTACTTTAAGTTATCAATTTCATACGCGAAGCCGAGGGCACAGTCTCCGGTTCCAAAAACTTTACTAGATTCGATTACGAAAACTTTTCTCGTAATCGAACATCTGGACGCAGTTGATTGTTCCGCTTATATTTCCTCGCAATCGAAGGCGTCCGGTCGTAAACCAGCGTCGCCGAGAGATTTTAGGCATATGTACCAATTTAAAACCGATTCAAAATACATTAAATATCTAAGTCAGAGATGCGATTCGAAACACGCAAATCCGGGGATTATTTTAATGCGTGAGACAAATTAAAAACGGCATGTAAACTTATTATCATTCTGAACAACGATTAACGAACAATAATAATTATTTAATCAAAACAATAAAATCGGATAATTGTTTCGAACCGATGATAGGTAGGGGGAAGAGTATAGGTAGCCCTTTGAAAAGATTTTAGAGAAATCAGTCAGTATAATTTTTATGATAAAAGGATGTAAAATAATAAAAATTATTAAATTTTAATTTATTCCGTAGAAGAATTATTATTTTTATTTGAAATTTTTAGTTATATTATTGCCATTGTTGAAAACTAACGTAGAGAATTTGTATTTTTTGATTGTCGTCATTTCTTAAATTCATTACATTGCAGGTCTTTGTCTATCTTTGCTTTAACCCTTAGTAGCCTGATTTACGAAAGTGATTTTTTTTTAACATTACTGGGTTTGCTTGAGGGTCTAGATGGAAAGATTAATTAATTGATTGATTAATTTCGTTGGAAAGAATATTATACAACGGTAAAATACGTACAGCCAACCTATAAAAAAAAACTAATAGTAATGTGAACATTCGGTTTAAAAGATTGGTATCAAAATTGAAACTCTAGGTTATTAAGGGTTAATGCTGGTGGCAGTGAATTGAAAGCAGCGGATTTTACCGCTTCCAGGAGTTTTTCTGGCACACTGTCACCGTATACTGTTGAATCACTATCCGAACTTAGTTTCAAAACTTACTAGAAAATAGAAAAAAGAATCTTACTTGATGTTGTCAAAACGATGTGTAGAAAGCGCGATTAAATAAGGGGAAGTCGCACAGAGTGTCAAAAAGAGATTCTTGTCTTGTATCCATTCTCGCTTCGCTCGAGAGTAAACCTCATACAATACTGGATCTTACTTTCCCGTGATAGTTAAGTAATATACTAATTTATATAACAAAATAAAGATTCTCATAATTTACAGACAAAAGTAACATGTGAATAAAAGAATTTCACACGTTAAAAAAAAAAATAATTAAGATTAGTTTCTGATAAGCACAATGTTAAAATTAAAAATCTAGGCAGCTAGTAATTGACGACTTGTTAGAATAACGTGGTGTCATCTCGTGAAAATGCGACTACTGATTGACACAATGACAAACATTCAAAGTTCCTAACAGTCGTCGTATATTAGGTCAGTGAACATTTTACTTTTTCACGATGACTCCGTAATGCGTTCACGCGATTGACCGATTGTACCTATGTATTATGAACGTGTCGGCGCCTACGCGCGGATGCCGAGGCGACGTGTGTGCCATTAATAGAGATCTCTGACATCTCGTTATGGTCAATTGTTGTTTGTTAACGACTACATCTAGCGGGCTCAATGTTGCTAGCTTCGTGTAGTTTTTTAAACCGACATGTCGCCACGTGTATTCGATGTGATCGATCTACTTCTATTTTTTTTTCAGGTCAACGCTATCAATTGATTGTCAATGTGGTTCGATCGTTAGCCACGGATTTTGTTGTTGTTGCGACTGACGTTAATTGATTTTCAATTATCAATGTATATTGATTGAATTATAATTGACGCTGAACTTGTTTAAAGTTAAAAATATGTTCAAAGGAAATTTCAATCCACTCGGTATAATAGTAGACTTCGAAAGTACTCTTGGTACATAATTCAATGAGTTTTAAATCCGATTAAAAGATCAGAGCATTGATTAATAATGCAAGCAAAGATCACGAAATCATGATTTATAAATGAGCATGAAAGTCTTGAGCTTTTTGAACTTGAACCGAAGGTAACGACTCATCCGCTTTGTTCTATTATATTAGTCACATACGCTGCTATCATAATATGGGAGCTTGATTGTTCTGCATTGATGGTAGGCGTGTGACTGTCATACAGAAGTAGAAGCTCGCTTCTTTTTGTTTACGAACTTTTATTCTCTGTTGTTTTTTTTAATTGTTAAGTTAGTTGATCTTTAAATTCTTCATTAATACAAAAGCGGTGCGATTTTCTTTCAACTTCGATTCATATTATTTGTTTTACTTGTGATACTAGCACTTCAACTCAATCGGGCTGTTCCTATTATTGTAGCTATACTTCTACATCAAAATGTATCCTAAAATAATAGTTAACTTTGGTAATGAGTTCAAATCAATGAAATAAATTATTATTATAGAAACAGTTTCACTAATTATAAGCCAAGAGACATACGACTTTGAATGTAGAGATTCATGAATTATTAAAATCAACCATTGGTTAGTTTTTACTAAATCATAATATTTGATATTAATAAAAAAATTAATTAATGACAAAATATATATTTCCCAAAAAAAATCTCATTGGAAGTTACACAAAACTAGCACAGTGAAGGCATAGTATTTTTTTCGATCTTATAGAATTCGGTGAGTGCGCTCAGGTCGTCTATTGTATAAAAGAAAGGAAGCGAATTACCGACTGATATCAACGTGTCCTTCTACCGGGAATTCAAGCAAATGAAATCTTTCTGAAAAATAAGTTTCTGACTTTACATTCGTTAGTTGCAGTGATACTTAGCATTGGTAAAAAAAAGGAGCATTGATTACGTAAAAATGGTCAAGAAATGAGAGAGAAAAACGAAATAACCATAGGATTACATAGGTGAGAAAGAGTAAGCTTTAAGATGGAAGCGAAGCTTTTTAAGTGACAGCTGTGTCGTTCGATCGATTTTAACGTGGCATACCGATGTACGTCTCTTTTCCACTTGCGACATGCCTATACGTCTGTTATAAGTGAGTTTAGATACATATCAGAACAGACCGGTGCACACTATCGACACTATCGTGCAATGCAGCCAACAGTACAGCGTTAAAAATAGCTCAGGGTCGGCATGGGAAAGCTTCTTTATTTACTGAACGTGTAACGCCGGAAACAACGAGTGCTTCGCCACTTTAGAGCGCACCTCATTTCTAATTTCCATGTGAATCGAACCGAAACACAGCTTGCCACGATCATCCGAATGTATTCGGTGCGTCCGAGCTAATTTTCTATTGGTAATGCGTGTCGCTCGTGCGCTCGAAGCTTCAAACGACGGCCATTTGCATACGGCGAAAAACATTCCTCGCGCGCGATTACGAGTCCAAAGACAAAAATTTCGCATGGCCCGTTCCTAATTCGCAGGCTGAGCTATTGGAATAAGTCGCCGAGCAGCTTTCCGCAAATAGTATGCGGCAACGCGCGGCAACGCGCGGCAACGCGCGGCAACGCGCGCTAAGTAGATTAAGTAAAGTCTTGAAGATCCAGCGCGCGTGAAAATAGGACGGAATGGAATAGCGCCGGGCTTTCAAAAGGCGCTTACTCTAAGAACGTTCGAGTAGGCGAATAACTTGATCGCTCGTTAGCGCATCGCCGAAAATTCCAAGTAGCTCATCTCGAACCCAAAACTGTCGGGAAAATCAATGGCGCGCTCTTTTCGGGGTCGGAGGGGGCTGGAGAGGGGGGAGCGTCCATTAAACGCGAATCGTATACACATTTGTTTCGTTTGCTTGCAGGAACTCTACGTGGCGGTAGAGGATGGCGGACCTGAAGAATCTTACGGTTGGCTCCGGCGCTGGCTCGCGTTACAATGGTGACGAGCAGGTGCAATTCATACCGAGCGGTAGTCATCAGGTGACCATTCGTTCTCCACCACCCACGACCATTGGCTTTGAGAATCTCAACAATGTCCTACTTGGGTATCGTCTCTTTTTACTTGTCGATTGGCCTTTCTTCCTTTCGCTTTCAACTCGTCAACTGAACTACTTTTTGATTGCCGATTGCTTTTATTCCGACCGCCCATAGCATCGCGAGAATATTCCCAAATAGAAGTGCGCTTTTGACACGTTGCTCGTTTCTTTTTGCACTGGCAGATATGAAAGCTAGCTCTGGGGGTGAAAACTTTAATTTGAGCTCCCGAGGGAAAACATAAAAGTGCACGGTTATTGCCTGCGACGCTGTAGTACGAACTACTCGCTAGAGTCTGTTCTTTAGAATAGCAATTCTACCTTTTCTTTACAATAAAAATTTCTAATTATTCTTTATCATTGGCCTTCATAAAAGCTGATGAGTAAGTTAATTGGTAACATTTATTAAATCGTTATAAGAAGTTGTTTCATGCAGACTAAGAAAATCGATATTATAAAATTTGCTATAATCCGTAATAAAAATTACTACAAAACATATTAATCGTGGCGTATATTCCGAATATAGTAAAAGTTGCTATTTAACTTTGTAAAATTACAATATTTGGAGTTTTACTATGTCCTTTTTACTAATTAAAATTTATTAAATCCCATAATAATTGCTACTGTAAACAGAATACAGGAGACTAGTTCCTTAAATTTTAATATGTATATAACAATTTTTATCGCTTCGAAAATCAACTAAATTACAATGTTATATTTGATTCGAATTATTGTCGAAGGCCACATTAATCTTGAAATTCTTCCTCGGAATACATACGATTCATCAATACATTACCCTTACAACCTATTGCTTATATATTGCGCATCTCACCCATTTATTAGTTCGAAATCTATGGCATGTAGTTAGCCGCGTAACCGCACGCATTTTTACATACATGATTCAGACTAACATTATCTTATATTGTAATGAAATATTCATTCTGCTACTTGCGAATATTGAACCGCCATCTACGCGCGGTCCTTGCGAATTATTGTCTAACCAGTTGCTTTTGCACAATATGCAATTGTTGCTATGCTTATTGTAAAAATTGTTCAAATATTAATTTTTACTGGGTATTCTAACACGTGTTTAAGTAATTATGACACAAGTTTTATTATATTATAGCTGTAATAGAAATGAATAAAAATTTAATAAACTTTATAATGGGTTGAGAATATCCCATAGTTACTATGTTTTGTAGTAAATTTTACTACAATTATATAACATTTTATTGTATACGGAATTCCTTCAGTGTACAATGTTGATTAAAAGAGAGAGAGAGAGATTGAGAGAGATATTGGAAATAATCCTTGACCCTTCATGTGTCTCGTGACCGCTTAAGTGCACTAAATATCTGCTTCGAAACGCCTTGTACGTCTCTAGTAAATATTATTAATAAGGCATTACCATCGCCAATTACTTATTCATTATCGGAATAGACTTTTTATCAAGTCGACATTGCTCGTATGAAATGCAATGTTTGCACTATATACTGGCGTTCGTTGACAGCTCACGGGCTTAATTGATAACTGCACGCGATGAGAAAAAAAATGTTCGTTGTTAAGTAGTAGGTATAAAGATATAGACCGACTTGTAATTCATGACAATAGATTAAGATTAGTCGCAATTGGGAAAAATGAGCAGATTGCAAAAGCGAAATTGAAAGGTTGAGTTATTTGGTCCTTTCGATCGTATCCAAGCGACGAACGAGCGCGCACCACTTTCTTTCGCGACGACCTATGCAGAAGTTGCGCGTTACGGTACGAGCGCGCGAAGTAGGCGATTCTCGCACGAGGGTGCGTAGTCAGTATTGTATTTGGCACGTTGGCTAAACTAGTGCTCCCAAGTAGATTTTCGTCTTGCGTGAGGCTCACGCCCGAGCGAAGCAAGGCTATTTCTCAAAACGACGCGTGGAAAGCGCCGATTCGCCGAGCATGTGCTCGATTTCGCCCTTTCCGCACGCCGCCCTCAGACGCACTACATTTATATGTTCCAACGTTTGTCCGGACAATGGATGACATTATCGAGTTTGAAAGATTTTTATTTATATAAACGAGCTTCAAAACTCAAACAACTGTATGCCGCGTAAACTTTCAAGTCTGGCAATTAGTCTCAAGTTGGCCAACGAAATACGTATACACAGCTTGGTAAAGTAAATAAGAAACTGTTGCAGACAATCTAAAGCAGAAAAAGCGAGCCGGTAAAATTATACGCGTCTGCGCGTGGCCTGGGAAAATTTGCACGAGAACACCTGGCAGACTCGCGCGATGGTTCTGATGTTGGGGGCGCGATTCGATCGCTACCTTTTTGACCCAAATTCAGAGGATCCCTCTCTTGGGATGTGTCTTTCTTCTCATTGGCTTCTCCGATAGCGGCACGTTAATTCGCGCGTCACACAATTATCAGGCTAAATTACTGGCATTTCGACCTTGTCTTTGCACCTATAGTGAAGATAAAGATGTTACCACTAAATGTGACCCAAAAGAAAGCCAGTTAATCTTTTCTTTTGTGATCGAGTGGCTTTTCACGCTGTGAAAAAGCTGTTGACTACGCGCAAGTCTTCAAAGCAGTTCTGACTATTCACTTGGTGATGTGTCGTCGATTTAAAAAATTGATTATTCGCCGTTTGCATTTCTCTTGAAATACGTTTGTTTGTCGTCTTAGAACGGAATTTTCGTCAATCGCATGGAGAGTCACGACAACGGTGGACTTGGTTGGCTGTGGATTCTATCGCGCGTGAAAAAACAAAAGCGAGGACTCTCGGTGAAAATCTTTTGGGGTGAGGTCGTAAGTTGCGAGGGAGAAGGAAAAGAAAAGCCTTTACAAAAGAGAGCTCGAGTCAAGTACAAATTGATCATCGCTCACTTCTGGACGACCTTCGCTCTCCCCGCGTGCGCCTTCCTAAAAGTTGGAATTACTTGTTCTGTATATGCTACGCAAAGAGCAGAGAGCCACGTGATCTTTTTTTTTTTCGTCGATACAAAAAAGAGTCTAGCTGATGCGCAACTTCGCAGGCTTTGCGGCTTTTGTTCGGCGAACAAAGTCCCTCGCTGTATACCGAAAGGTATATACTTGTTGAACAAATGATTTTGCACCTCGACGATTTCGTTTTCGACAACTGACGGGCGATAATCTTCGAATAGGAAAAGATACGAATTGTGGATTTATCGTACAATTTGGCATGATAAATTAAACGCGATAGCGTTTTTCGCGAGAACCGTTGCATAACAAAAATATAGCGTTGAGTAAGTCTCTCGAGATAAGCTAGACTTTTAAAATTCATATATACTCATTTATTGATTCCAGATTTAAATGTAAGCGATGCTCACACTTTATACGATTCAATTTATTATTTAAACTCGAGGAGTCGTGATTTTCCTTGAAGTGTCATCGAATAAAGCATTAATGATTAAAAAAAATTTGGAAGATTTTGACGTTCTAAAACGTTTTTTCAATAACTGTTACTTATAATAATGTATTCGATCTTTCTTTAGATGACAACGTCGAATTCAAATCAATAGTCATGCAGCACATTTTTGGTGTCACAGTTTATACAACTCATGACATTGGAAAAATTTTACTTTGAAATCTGAAAGACTTCTATCGTAAGAAAATCTGAACGACATTGATCCATAGTAAATTCTTCTGCCATCCCATCAGATAACTTAGAAAATGTAAATTGGCGAAAAACGGCGAAAGTAGCTTCGTTCATGTCACGTATAAAAGTAGCATCACAGGCGATAATATTCAACTATTGCACTGCAATTCATTCGCGTCGCGGAAATAGAATGAAGTAATTGCCACGATCAGCCGAATGATAACAGAGAAAGAGAAAGAGACTTGTGACGAAATTTAATCGCACTCGAGAATTATCTTCGCGAATAATCAGACTTCCACGTAGATAGCTGGATATTCGCCAAACGACGCGGTCATTGACAGCAATCGCTGACATTACGGCACTAGTTACACACTTTCTGCTTGGAAAACACGCCGTTAAACGTGCGTTACAACGAGGCCTCGATCATCGAACCACGTTTATTTTCATTTCCGCTCGAGAGTCAAGGAAGGGCGGTCGCGCGTCGTCGGGGCGACACGTGCGGCGTCCCGTGGCGCGGAACGCGAATTTCGATTGCGCGCGACGGCGCCGCGGAGGAAAAACGCGCCCCGCGCGTCGAGCAGCGGAAAGAAGTCGCGCGCGAGACGCGACGTTTCCCCTTCTCCGTCTCTCCCTCTCTCTCTCACTCTCTCAAGCGAGTTGACGGATACGGCACGTGGACGAGAGGAGCCGCGTGCGTGCCTTCGCTCCCTGGCGCGTCACTGCACTCCGACCTTAAACTCCCGCAGAAAATTCGACGCACTTAATTGCGCCGAGCTTTCGGTTGCGTCGACTTTATATGGGAGCCCTGCGGGGAGAGACAATTCGCTTGATTAGCTGGATCATTAGCTTTATCACTGGCGCAGCGGGCAAACGAGTCGTTCACGAGCTACTGCTTCTTTCGTTATTTTCTTTTTCCTTTTACGTAAAAGCGAGTTGCAGGTTGATAACGTGACTAAGATGCGTAGATTCGTTTTTTTTTTCGCAAAAAGAAAAATTGATTACGCGCAGCACATAAAGGAACAAAGAAAATTAACTTAACCGAGAGTACTAAGAACTTTAATCATAAAGTGGCACAGTTTCGATATGCAAATAGTGTTTGCAGAAGGAAAACAAAAAGGCAGTGCGCGTGCGGCGAAAAAAAGAAGCTGGATTTACGATATAACATTTGGATTTACAGCTGAGGGTGACTCATCATCAACACGTCTGCCGCTAATGTACGTTCGTAGCGGAGGTTCTTGCTCTTCCTTTCTCTCTCGTTCGGTATCTTTGACCTGCGAAACGTGTTTTTACGCCGCGCGTGGACGAGAACTGTTCAAGGGTTAAAACTAAAGCAACGACATCGCCATTGAAGTATCCTAAGTAGTGAAAAGTTTCCAAAATAGGAACACTCGTCGCAGTCCCCGAAAATTATTCGCTTGGTTGCGATTTGGCGTTAAACCGCTTCGGAGCTTTCTCGCTCGTTGTGTACCTGTCACGGTCCTGACGTACGTTGCGCTTCGCTAGCGATGATCCGGACGGAAGCGTCGAAGCGATCATTCGTTGTTCTTTCGGCCAAGCTTGCCGGGCCATACGGAAGCACCCGCGGCCTCGCACGGCGTTCGACGAAGCGTTTCGTTCGTGGTTGCGATGCGTTTGCTTCGTTTGCACAGCCGCAACGGCAGTACCGGTCACCGCGACAACGCTCTCGCGCTCTGTCGTCCACGCGATGAACTTTCGACGGCACCTCGCCTCTGCGTCGATAAGCTGCTCAACGCCAGAACGTATCGCGATCGGCTCGGTGAAACCCTTCGGAAGCTCACTCAAGAGTCAGTCGCGAACGCGGAAAGGACAAAGGAAGAAAGCCGCGAAACAAGCTCGCGCGCGCCAGGCAGATATACATCGGCGTTTCAATGAGGGCATGCACTTGAACGCGTCGACCGTACAGGCTGCGACGCGCCTATCTCGTTTATTTCTCAAATTCCCTCGCGACGTCGTCGTATACTTGTGACCATCGCGCGCGAACACATTCTTTTCGGAATACGCTGCAAATATTTTCGCGGCTTCGATGTTCTTCGTTATGGGGATCGGTTACGCATGCCTCGCATGCATTACGGAGCAGCTCGAGCGCAGCGGCGAGCTTTCGTATATATCTAGAGCCAGCGTTTGGTATCGATTCGAGAACTTGTCTTATGTATATAGCAGCGCGCACATGCACGGCGTCTGCAAATTATACAAGCCACTATCCAAATAAACTGCTCGGCTATTTTCGACGTTAATACGTACGCACACGCACACACACACACACGCGCGCGCGCGCTAGTCATAACCGGCCGAGACGGGCTTTGAATTATCCAAGCGCGGCGGCAGTCTTACGTGGCGATGCCGCTCGCGGATACAGATTGCTTCGTGAATACCAATTTTCGAAATGCTGTCTTGCTCGTTCATCGCTTTTTCAATGATGTCTACTCGCGTGTACATATATATATATATATATATATATATATATACAATATATATCTGGGTCACCTATTTCGGGAACGTTGACACTTTGGCAGGCACATTTCGCTTCGGCGGAGAGATAACGATGCGTTCGAAAAATAAACTCGCCAATGCGACTTTCATCCTTGCAACGCTTATTTTTCCACGGAGTAAAAGAAGTTTGGCATTGACTTGCTACTGCGTAAGCACAACCATAATCGATATTCCATTTTCATAAAACTTCGCGCGGTATCTCGTGTCCGATAGTTGGCAGTGCACAAGGTTGATGGTAACATTAAAAATAAAGTCGCGCATCCACCGCTGAGAGGATGAGCGACTGAATTCCGCGCGAGGTCTTTGGTGTCGGACGCATGAAAAAGAAAAAAAGTGTCGCTTGAACTTTCAGAGGCTCGCAGAACAATCTGCACTGTGCGTGCAACGGCTCGGCGACCGCAGCGACGACCAACGGTAGCTGCAACAGCAGCGTGCTGGCGCGCAAAGTGCCGAACCACAGCCCGGGTCAGCCGTCGAAGAAGCCAGCGGTCGCGTTGACTCACCTGCCCAAGAGGCCGCCCGTCGATATTGAGTTTAAGGATCTTGCCTACAGCGTTTCCGAGGGCAGACAAAGAGGTAATGTAGCCATCGATTTTCTTTTTCATTACTTTTCGTTTGCGCACACACGACTTTGAAGAACGAGAGCGAAAGCCTCGATCCGTTAACGACTTTACTTTGAAAAGTGGGCCGTGCGGGTGCACATTGTAAAATGCCCCGGACTATCGTTTTCGCGTGCTCGCCTCTCGAAAAATTTGGACGAGAAAGATTTTTTTTGTCTTTTTCATTTTTCACTTGCCTTTGCCTAACCACGCGTCTGAGATTACGCGCTCGTTCTGCAACAAACGGTGTCACGCCGCGAAGACCCTGATTCCATTTCTCTAAGCTGTCGCGCGTGGCACCGAAGTCTTTCAATCCGCGAAAAAGAAAAACCGATTACCTATAAAGCAAAAAAACAGCCGTGGAAAAAAAAAGCAAGAAGCGCGTTGTTTTGTTCCTCGTAGGTTGTTTTTTCTCTTTTGCAAAGCTCGCGTTGCATTCGTCGTCGTCGCCTCGGGGGAGCGAACAAAGTGAACGACCCTCGGTTGCGCGAGCCGTAAAATCGATATGGACGTTCCTCAATTGCGCAGATACTCTTTCTCTCTCTCGGTGCGCTTGCACCTGCCATGCACGTTATATGCTTCTAGGATTGATAGCTTTTCTTCAATGGATCTATAGACTTTGAAAAGCAACGAGTCTTTATGGTCGGAATTTGAAATTGCAATTAGTTTGACGACGAGGCTGGTTTTTGATGAGCGTGACACAGTTCACGTAGAGGTGATGACCGGCAACAAAATTAAATTTATTACTTATTTTTGCCAGGTCGGATCGATGGGCTTCAGTGTCATCATGAATATTTACACGCTGAGCTCGGGAATAGAAGCGCGGAAAAATTTCGAATTACGCGGAGGTGGGTGAATTGAGTTGTCGCTTGTCACGATTGGAACGGACGGTTGTGACGTTAAATTGTTACGCTTGCAATTTGCCATACGTAACATTCTATATTCCTCGCGAGTAGAATAAGAGATAATTATGTTTGAACGAGCGAAATTCCAGTCGTGTGACGGCTGCGAGGAAGACAGGAGGGCGGGCCAATATAGAAAATAGTAAGCAGGTCGTGTAAATATAACGATCACTCGATTTTATTGTACGAGTGAAATATGAAAAGAAAACTGTGGAGTTGTCGCGACACTCTTGACGACGACAAGGTTGTCCGGAATTCAGAGGTCAAAGTTGAGACTTTGAAAGATTCCAACGGGCTCGGTTGATAAACTTTGACATTGTTTGTGTTTCAGGCTACAAGACTATACTAAAATGCGTGCAAGGAAAATTCAGATCTGGAGAACTAACTGCCATAATGGGCCCTTCCGGCGCCGGGAAGAGTACGCTCATGAACGTTCTCGCTGGATACAAGTACTTATTACCTTTATCGTTCTTTCTCTGACGTGAAAAATAATTGGCCGATAAGCCAATTGTTATTCTCTCGGAAGTTGACCGATTCGTCAAATCGTTTGAGGCATATCGCGAGACCGCGAGGGTTGAACCGCTGCGATCCTGTCTTTGCCATTTGAGAAAATAACTCGAAGCGACGAATATGCCAAATAGAGCGGTGATAACGCGAACGTTGATTTTAATTGAACGCAACGACAAATGCCAGAAAAGAAATAAAGCTCCGGCCTTGAGACAGGGCGGCTCTTAGCTCGAAATAAAGGGACGCTGCGGATAAGAAAGAAAAAAATAGTAGCGTGCGCGTGCATTATTCTCGGTCGCTTTTCGGGCCAGCTTGCAGCGCCTGAAAAGTCGTCGCTACGCGCGGCGATCGCGCAGCCGTCTCCGGCACCGGCGAATGAATAATTAAAGAAAACCGGCAGTCGATCGCAGCGATGATAAAGGGGAGAGCGCCCGCCTATATGACTCTTTGACCTACACGCTGACCCAGTTCTCGCTAACAATTTCGAGTTGCGCGCACTATTGTCCCGTTTGCGAGTGAGCAGCACGTGCTGTCGATGCAACCGTGTCGCGCGCAAAACAATGCAACGTTACCATTAACGTCGGCGTCAAACGGCACCGTGTCTTTTGTCGTGTTCTTGCAGAACGTCAAATTTAAGCGGTTCAGTTTTGATCAACGGAAAAGACCGAAATCTGCGAAGGTTTCGCAAAATGTCCTGCTACATCATGCAGGACGATCGACTTCTGCCACACCTGACCGTCTTGGAGGCGATGACGGTTTCCGCGAATCTCAAACTCGGCAAGGACATCAGCGCGTCCGCCAAAAAAGTTGTGGTGAGTTGTCTCGCTCGCGAGTCGGGGACGGCTGTGTATTATCGCCTGCCGATGTTGTTCCGAGCAGATCGAGGAGATCATCGAAACGCTCGGCCTAAGCGACGCGAGTAATACGCAAACCCATTGCCTGAGCGGCGGCCAAAGAAAGAGACTGTCGATCGCCTTGGAATTGGTCAACAATCCGCCAGTTATGTTCTTTGACGAGCCTACCTCCGGCCTCGACAGCTCTTCCTGCTTCCAGTGCCTCAACTTACTCAAGTCCTTGAGCAGAGGAGGTCAGTAATGCTTCGCAGCTTCCGCGCTCTCTTTCCCGTCGATCTCAAAAAATCATTTCCCGCGACATTCGCAGGTAGAACGATCATTTGTACGATTCATCAGCCGAGCGCGAGACTGTTCGAGATGTTCGATCACCTGTATCTGCTGGCGGAAGGTCAGTGCATCTACCAGGGCAACGTGAGCGGCTTGGTGCCCTTCTTGTCGTCGATGGGCCTCGATTGCCCGAGCTACCACAATCCCGCCGATTACGGTGAGATTTTTTCACTCGATCGCGATCGCTTTCCAGAAGCCACCATATCAATGCCAAATCCGTTATCAAAATTGCCAGTCATGGAAGTAGCATGCGGCGAGCACGGCGAGTGCGTGCACAAACTGGTCTGCGCGGTGAACAACGGCAAGTGCAATAACTACCGCAGTTACCAGGCAGCCTTGAACGCCGCCAATTCCGTGGTATCCAACGACATTGCCAAAGTGTCGACGCCGCAGGAAGATAAGGAATTGCCAAGCAACGGCAGCAATGGCAAATCGACAGTAGTGGCAGTTCAGCCCGAAATGGCAAGTCTCCTGCCGAACGGAGTCGCTAAGCCTCCAGCTGCCACTGTCACGTCGAGTAATGGCAATGGCTCGACTGTACTGAATATACCTGTATCGTGCACAACTTCGTTACTCGACAGTGCCGAGAGTATCGAGCAAAAGGTCGGTTTTCCCACCAGCGGATGGTCGCAGTTCTGGATATTACTTAAAAGGACTTTCCTCTCGCAGATGAGGGATATGGTGAGTCCCTTCGCACCGCTGCATAAGTGAACGATCAATGAAACATAAACTTGCTTCCTTTCAGACGTTGACGAGGGTCAGACTGATTTCACACATAATCGTTGGCTTTCTAATCGGTGCAATTTACTACGACATCGGCGACGACGCCTCGAAGGCAATGAGCAACGCCGGTTGTGTCTTTTTTACCGTCATGTTCATCATGTTCACAGCCATGATGCCAACCATACTCACCTGTAAGTACACGAAAATCAGCAATCAGGCAGGCGATCCGAGCGAGCAATAAATTATTGACTTGCAGTTCCTATGGAGATGGGTGTTTTCGTGCGAGAACACTTGAATTATTGGTACTCACTGAAGGCATTTTACCTGGCGAGGACCTTGGCCGACATACCATTTCAAGTGAGTAAGAATTCCTTAAGGATATCGATGTACCGTGCATCCATCAAAGAGATCCAAACTGATGGATTTGTTTCCTTTTCATCGTAGATGGTGTACTCGATAGCTTATGTGCTGATAGTGTACTTCATGACGTCACAGCCGCTGGAAACCGAGCGGTTCATGATGTATCTGAACATTTGCATTTTGACATCATTGGTCGCCCAGTCGATCGGTTTACTGATCGGCGCAGCGATGAGCGTCGAGGTAAGGGGCGAGGGGGAGAGGAGGGAGGGGGAGGGGGGGGGGGAGACAAGCGTCCCATCGTAAAATGGTATGTGGCGATTGCTCGCAGACGGGTGTATTCATCGGTCCGGTGACGTCGGTGCCGATAGTGCTGTTCTCGGGCTTCTTCATCAACTTCAGCGCGATGCCGTATTACCTCAAGTTCCTGCCCTACGTGTCGTACATGAGATACGGCTTCGAGGGGGCGATGATCACCGTGTACGGCTACGACCGCCAGCCGCTCAAGTGCAGCGAGGACTTCTGCCTGTACAAGAAGCCCAGGAAGTTCCTCATGGACATGTCGATGGATCACGCCGTCTACTGGATCGACGCCACCGCGCTCATCGGCATCCTCATCGGCGTGCGCATCATCGCCTACTTCGTGCTCAGGCTGAAGCTGCGCTCGCTGCGCTAAGCGCCAGCAGCTCGTCCATCGCCACCACCGACAATAATAACGCGTTGCGATCTCCGACTCGCTGCCGTTGCGAGACCGAGCTCCTCCATTCGTGGCCGACCGCCGCGGCAGACGCTCGCGGATTCTCTTTTGCGTTCTCGGTGCCAATGACTGATTGCGCTACGACTGAACATTGAACAATGAACGATTCTTCCTCGATGTACGACAAAGGGGCCCAATCAACGTTTCTAGGTGTCGACAATAACTCTCTTTGCAGACTCTTTACATTATAGGCGTCGAAAGATTTTTGTGATAGCAATCGCTCATTCGATCCTCTCGTCAAGGACTTGATTTATATTACCGATCGATGCACACACCTACGCGCGCGCGCTCTACACAATTATCGTTCATTGTTCGATCTCCGTCGTCAGCTATAAACAATCGTCGGCACGATGGATCCGGCTCCGTCTCGGCACGTCACTTTTATACTTAGGCACTTATACTGAAAGCGAGAATGACAAAGAAAGAGCGATCGCGCGAATCGTCGATCGCCGCCGAATCGACCATCCCCTACTTGGCGCGCCACTAACACACGAAACAAATCAAATACGGAAACGGCAAGTTCATCTATTGTGTAATTAACGCATGTAGACGCGATTATCGCTAGAAATTCAAGTCGCTTCGCTGCGCGATTCGTCGGAGCCAGAAAGAGGTAACCACACACGTATACACGTGATGTTTTTTCTATAGAGGGAATCGGTCAATTAATTGATATTGTGTGACAAGTCGCGACTCGAAAGTATGTATAACGTAGCGTAAAGTTGCCTTAGTTCTTTGTGGTACTACCGCTGATACATTTATAAACAAAGCAACAATAGAAGACAAAACACACGTTCGTATTATAAGTACATATTTAGGAACATACCTTGTAACGTGTATTCGAGAATCTTTCTTTTTTCTTTTTCATACCGATAATTCAACTGCAACACACGCTACTCGTTCCGTTAACGCGATATTAACAAAAGGTCGACTCTGGGTTATTGCAAGTCGGTCGATTTCCCTCGTCGGCCAAAAAATATATTGTATTTATAGGGTGGAAAACAAGGTAAAATAAGATACTTTGTGATAAGCTCAAGAAACTTTCTCCGTGCCCTGTTCAGCGGAATTTCGGTTGTCCCGCGAGTGTGTTGATTTTTATCGTGTTTCAGTTCAGACGTGACTGTGATATGGACGCGAAAACGTTATTGTGTTTGCTCGGGTGATTGTTTCGGTGTGTTTCTCAAGACGCGACGCGATAGCGCGTGTTTTAAACTGCACAGAACCGAGAGAGAGAGAGAGAGAGAGAGAGAGAGAGAGAGAACACGAGAAAATGATACACGCCATGGTCTCTTTACCACCGTCGAAAGATCTTTTTTTATTTGCATTGGTGCAACTCATGAATTAGGTTTATCCTTTATGTTCCGGAACAAATAGCTCGTATTTAATTTTAATTTTTTGTATGACACTATACATTATAAGTAGACAATTGTATAAGTTTTTATCACTTTTTACGTATGTATTATACGCTTATTTATCGCACGAAGAGCAAGCCATTTTCTGAATACTTGTTCCATTGAGCTGTCAATAATGCTCTACATTGCAAATGGAAATCTATTCGACACTGACTTTGTTTTGATGTTTTATTACTGCGAAGCTGTCACCCTTTTAGTTCATGTATTTTTAACTATATAGGTTTATAAATATGACCAATTTCGTTTTATTCAATAAATTATATCAAAGTTATTTTACTGCACCTTATTGCATTGTTCATTTACGCGCTGTTTTATACTTTTATTTCTGTCACGCAAATTTCTTTGCAGCTTTTTCATTATCCTTATTCTATTGATTTTTATTACCTCCAGCACGTAAAATGTTTCTTGTTTGACATCTTAATTTTACCTAGGTGAAATAATGATCCGTGTACTTTGTAAACTACACTGCGCCAAAACTTACAATTTTCCTCTATCAATCATTTAGAGGATTGAAAAACCATTCTGACGCTCAATTTTTTTTTTTAATTTACTCGGTACATTTGTAAAAAAGAATATTTAATATAGTCAATTAAGCGTATATTTTAATGCTACTTTTATAGCACGTACTAGGCGTGTTTCCATTGGGGGTAGTAGGAAAATTAATTGGATTAGAAAACGTTACGACAAGTTAATTTATTGTCATAATTTGCTCGTAAAATAGTCTGGAGAAAAGCTCGATGAATTAGGATTTCACTAATTGACTTATACCGCACGAAATCGCTGGGTTCTAGTACATTGGACAGATATTAAAAGCGTCTCATTTTACTAGAACAGTCTGTAGTGATGAGAATAATCTTTCAGGTATAATCGACTAGTCATGAAAAAGAGACGATATACGTCGAGCGGTATTTTCGCGTAACTGTCATGTTTATTCAAATTATAAATTAAAACGTGAAGGCTGAGCGACTTGTTGACGAATTTCACAAATAAATGAAGAGGACAGCAAAAGAGAATGCTAAGGAATTTTCGACGCCTCGAAGCTGCCACGCCAAACACTTTGTAGGCATTAAGATGCTGCCGAGATTTGCCTGTGCGTTTGTACGTTCAAAAGAAATGTGTAAATCTTCAATTAGACGTGCCATTATTTCGAATCTACGACAAATGCAAATGTAACACGTGAATGTATAACATTTTTACTGTCACACTTATTCTCGGCGCATGCGTTTTTGTGCTTTTGTAACACTATTTTTCGCATCTCACTCACACGAAAGATAATACAAATGAAAGAAAAAAAAAACGTTTTAAATGCCCACAATAACTTTTCGAGTCTACGATCTTTCTTTTTTTATCAGAGGAAATTCTTCTAGAGACTTTATGGAACTTGCGTGAAAAAAAACTACTATAAAGTTTTTAAAAATTTTACTCCGTAACGATCCGACGCGTCTCAGTGATTTGCATAAAATAGTATATCGAAATAAAATGAAAAATTTGTATTAGCCACAAATGGTATATTTATAAACAAAAAATATATAGTTCAAAAGTGAAATAATTACATTAATAGTTGCTTGCTTAAAAGAAGCAAACTTTTAAAGACCAATCACTGGCTGCCTCAACATTTGCTTTTACAGAAGCTAAATTTTCTTTTTAAACTGACGGTAAAGACAGTAATTTGTACGCAAAATTAAAAGTTACGGGATATGTATAACGATTTCTTAATTAATCAAAGCAGATTGAAAATTGCACGGTACAGTTAATACAATTCAGATAAAAGAAACATAAATTGAATTCATGAGAACATAGTCTGCAACCCAACAAAGACTTTTAACGTAAAGTCTTCTAAGAGAGACTTGAAAATTAACTGTTGAAAAAACATTTTTTTAGATAACGCCATAACAGTTTGCTGCAGATATTAAAAACAAACAACAAACGGCGCTAAAAGAAAGACTTGCAAAGCTACGAATAACGCGATGAACTATGCAATGATACAGGAAAATGGATATGGAAAATAAACATTATAAAGCCTTCAGGCGCAAATCAACAATATACCCATTATAAACAGCATTCAACGATAAATTTCATGTTTTGATTGCAAAACATTTACAACATTATTTTTTCAGTATTCCTTATATTGTACAATTCAGCCGTTGCGATATGAATACCAATTTAGTTAAATATGATGCGGTAAATTTGAAATAATAATTTTATAAAATATATTTTTTATATAATGCAGTTACATTTATTTTTCATAAACAGTTGGACATATTACAAAAAAATTGAAATAATTCATATTAAAAAATGTTGATTTGATAAAACCATTTTTGGCGGCAGTAAAGTCTTATAAAAAATTAATGTTGATAAATTTTTTATACAACAGATGTAAACGAAAATCTTGGAAAAAGCTTTAAATTTAATGTTGTTAAAATGAAAAATTCATAGTTTCTTTTGCATTTAAATAATCAATTGAACGAATGGATTTGAAGACGGAGACAAATGATTTTCTTATTGCTTGTTACATCCAATGAGTACATTATCGATTTAACGTCAATTACACGTCATACTGATTAGCTGAGTTAATTAAACAAAGAGTCTCAATTTTCACAGTTATTGCAACTGACCGCTTACAATAATAATAATAAATGCATATTAAAACTTTAGCATAAACACCCGCGGGCGGCTGTATATGTCAAATGAATAGTATAAAATATATCTGAAATAATACTAATTACAAATGATTATAGAGTAAAGTATAACCTACATCCACGTATAAACATAAACGACACGCTATAAATGATATTAGAATATAAATGACAGTTATCGTACATGTTGTGATTGTTTATTGAATGCGCGCTTGTAATAACTAAACAAACAATAGTTTCTACGTGATTATCGCGAAAAAAACAAAAAATGTATCTCATAATATACGTGTATGTAGATGTACACAATTGCGCATGAACTGTCATAATCGAGAATCGAAAATATAGAAGTAAATAAACCTCGACGTTTTATATGACGAATTTATAATAAACCACGATTCGTATGACTTATCATTCACATTCTATTAGCAGCACATAATAAACGCAAGTCAGTAAGCCAAACAGTTTATAGCTATAGGAATGTAATCGTTCAAGTTCATAACTAAAATGGAAAATACGGAAAAATATGGATGTGCTAGAAATAGATCGATAAAACGATAGTTATTGGAAAAGAGAGATAGAGATTGCAAAGTTAAGACCACATACTTACAAGCATGCATACCATTTTTTCAAATAACGTAATTTTTATACAAAAAAAAACATTAATCAAAACAGAAAAAAAATTATAGGATAAAACCATGGACGAGAAAAGTGACAACCTTATGAGACTGTGATCGATGATGCAAGATAACGATTTTATATTGTAAAGAGAATGTCAAAGACACTCGCCTTTCCAACGCGTATTTGTGTGGATCATGTTGGTACGAGTAAATGATTGGATGATAATGATGATAATGAAATGATAATAAAGGATTACATTTGATTTAATTAATAAGTTCACTTCTTCCAAGATTCCCATTTCCTTTCTTCTCGATTCCATAAATATTTATTTAGATAATGATCCCTGAGGGCCAGAATTAAAATTTTTTCTATGAAAATAGACGAAAAACAACAGTGTTTGAATGCTTATTATTCAGTTCCTGTGACCGCTAGAAACATTATAAAATGCAGCAAAAGAGATCTTTACGGAGAAAAATGTTTTGCGCGGTATCGGAGGCTAGTGGAATACATGGTTTTTCCATTTTCAAAGCAATATTGTGTTTATAATCAATGACGAACTTTTTTGTTTCAAAAAATAATTATCTTGTATTTTTTCATTTGCTGCCAACTAATGATATGATCACCAAATAACCATTTGTCATCGAATAGTTTTGAATTTCTTTTATATCGAAGTTTATTTTGAAATACCAAACCGTAAAATCTTGAATGATGCTTATAAAACGGATGAATATCATAACTCTTTTTAAAATTTTAAGATTAGAAAAAACAGCCAAATGTTTATCTTAGATATTCTGGCTGATATTAATATAATCGTATAAAAGCTGTATAAGAGCTTATCCGAAAAACGTCAAACTGTCAAGTGATCCGAGTAAATGGAAATACTTATTCATCACTCTACTTTTAGAAGGCTATACTTTGAAAAGCTTATTGCGATTAATTTATAGGCCCACATTGAATTGCGGTAGTAAGTTTCCATTTTGAAATAATTTTGTGAATTTGCAACATTACTTAAGTTTTGATAACAAGTAAAATTTGATTATTTTAAGCTTATAAAATTTTGTACACGTACAAATTATTAGAAATGTCTCGCTTTTCCAGGTAATAAATTTTATAACGAAATAAAACTAAAGTTTTATATGTTTGTTTATTTATTTTTTTTACTCGTTAAAATTATCATAAACACATTATTATTATGTATAATACAGCAGAAAAGTGTAATAATACAGTCACTAGCAAGTATCTCTTGGCTAATATGTTGACAATGTTGATTTGAAGGACACTAAACAAATAAAATATTCTACTGAAATTATACGAACAAAGCATAAACACTTAAAAGTAATTTTTCTGAACTTTCTTTTAAAATATTATTTGACTCGTCTCCTACAAGTTTGTAACTGCAATAACTTGTATAATAGATAGTTGAAATACAAATTAACGTTCAATAAATGAAAGCAGTAGCTGTATTCCTTCGCTTGGAACAATTGTATTTCATAAAGCTAGTCGACTGAATATTCTACAGAGCCTTTTATAAAATGAGACTCGCTAATTGCTGTAATGTCATGTAACTATATCAAATCAGCGCTTCCTTCGCAAGTAATTTTTTAAAATGCTGACTAGCGACTTCTAATATATTTCTCTTTAAGATCACAGGTAAAATGGAATAAAACCTCCGCTGTTTTACCTAAATTTCTTTCTTTTTCATACAAATAGGCCGCGCGTGCTGAGGTATTTTCAATATATACGAGCTTTCTATTGTGATACAGATTCTCATCTACATCTATACTGTGTCAAGATGCAATCTTTATATTTATTACTCAGCACCATTACTAGCATCATTATGTCATTTTTAAGTACCATTCGCACGTATTTCTTACAAATTTATTATAGATATAGTGTTATGTAAAATCAAGCTTCAGTGCTTAGTGACGCATGAAATATAAATATTAAAATTGCAAGACTTAATTTTGTTTTATCGCATTTATACGCAAGCAATATCAAATTTGGTGAGTGAAAAACCGTTGAATTATACTTCGATTACTTTACTAAATTAGAATAACATTAAAAAATTATCTCACTTTCGTGAAAAAAGCACATAGTTAATAGTTCATAAAAATAAATAAATTAATGACTTAACAAGGGCAGTTTCACATTACATCATTCTAAAACGCAAACAAACCCGACCCTATTATTTCAGAGCTGATTTGAAAAATGGATTATCGCAGTGAAAATATTTTATAATTTGCCAAAGGTTAGTAGTCTAGTAGACTATTTTTATTTATGTCATTAAGATTTAATTTTCCGTGGGACATAAAAGTAATCGCATACATTAACATTGATCATAAATAATCGCATAAATAATCGCATACATTAATATTGAACATATAAATTAGTTAGCTATATGAGACTCTTGAAAATGAAGATTATGAAAAATGATTATTTTAAAGGTTCGGAGGAGATACATAAATTAGTTTATCGATAATAAAAGTAATGAAAACTCGATTATTTAATAGCTAATTGATAAAGTAAATTTGAAGTAATAAAAAAATAAAAAATAAGTAATAACACTCGCATTTCGCAGTGCTCATACTTTCGCGGTATACTTTACGCAACAGGGCTCCTTTTCAATTACATACAATTTACAAAAAGTATTCATAATAAAAAATCGCTATTTTTCCTTATTTGTTACTTTTGCATACACATTCTAGTATCAATTATCGTATGTTTCCATTTTGACCTTTCGCAGCGTTTTTTTCAACGGTTAAAACTCCTCGAGTTTATAAAACCTTGTATCAAATTATTGCACTTTGTTGCGAGGTACTGATAGAACATTTCATATGGTGTATGTTTTCAGTGCGCAATTATCTAGCCCAAGTAAACATTAAGCTGATTATTGTGAACTCCTGACTATGATAAATGTTTCGTTTAAAAGTTACTTACACAGTTCATTTATGAAGCGCATTCAACGCTTGTTTCACTAATACTTGGAAGCATTATACTTTATTGTAATTATTGAATCCTTATTTCGACGTACAAAATAGAAGAGAACACGATTATTTATCCACACGATATTTTCCTGCAATATTTTATTAATTGATGAATTCACCAAGCGTGTTCGTTGTTTTTTCAATGGTGATTTTTTTTTTGTTCTCGCATAAAATTTATTCAAATACACTTGTTAGATATATACTACATTATCGCCGTGAAATTGTGTAGAACAGCTTTGTATGTAAATAGTACCATGCGGACAGTTTTCACGCAATTACGATTGTAAAACAATTTACTTAATTAGACGAACTACGAAAACAATAAATTTGTACATTAGACTAAGCTGACAATTTAAAATACAAGTGTGAATGACATTATCACAGTACGTTAAATTTTATAAATTGAAAAAACAAAACCACAGAACCAGAGAAACAACAAAAAAAAACCTAGAACCTAAAGTTCAGTTGTTTAAAGAAGTGTCATTATATTAGCTAAAAATGATTTCGACATGAATTTTAATGTAGAAAGTATTAATTAATGTCAGCAAAACTTACGTGTACGACATGTTCAATTATTCGCTAATTGTAAATGTTGTCGAAGGTTTTCAAATCGCTATCGCTTTATTTATTGTAAAATACGGTACAAAATATGCCTCAGATTTTATTCAAGCGCCAAAAAGTAACGCACAACTTAAAACCTAGACGGAATGAAATGGATGGAGGTAACTTTTACACTTGCACTCTGAAATAACTGAACTGGTACCAGCCAATCCAACGATAAGTTTAGTGCACGTTTTCATGAAAAATGTTTACTAAAAAACTGTGTAATCAATTTGTTTTTCATATAGTTGAAATATAAGAAAGCGGAATATGCCGAATAATGTAAGACATCAGCAGATCGCAAATCATTATTATTCAATTCTTGTGCTTGCTCAAACTAATCGATATAATACCTTCTGCGTTATACAAGAAAATTAAACGCTATTAAATTATGTCGTTTATAGAGACTTGCAGCCGTAAGAATTATTTTATTAAACAATTTTACACGCATTTATTGAGCGTTTTGTTGATAAATTTCTAATGTGACATCAATACAATGGTACCATAAATATTGTCTCATTTTAATTAAATAGGCAGATGTTGAATTGCAATGTAAGAAGTTATTTTTCAGAGTAAAAAATGTGGAAGATTGCAACGAACATTAATTAGCTGAAATTCAACCAGCATTTCTTTTCTGATACTTTGCACTTTAACTCATGCTTAGCTTTTCAATTGATGAAACTATAAGTAAATAGTTTTAAATTTACCATCAAGTGTCTTCCAAAAGTGTAGTAATTCATGACGCTAGAAGAGCTTTTTGAATTGTGTTAAATATCCGAACAAAATCTTTAGATATCATAAAAAACAAACAAAAAATTAATTATAAAAGTAAAATTACACATACGAAATTTTTTAAAACAAAAATTGATCTAAAAATAGATTAATCTATGCAGAGACCGTCGGTCACTCGATAAAATTTCTTTTTTCAAACGAAATAATGATAAAAACAATAATAAACTAATTTGCTCACAAACTTCCATGTATCTCTCAGTGATCATGAAGTTTAGCGATAAAAGTACACGTTTACGACGAAATTTGTGAAATTCAATCATATACCAGACAGACACAAAACTACGCTCTAGAAGCCTTACTCAGTCGATTGTTTAACTGATTGCATTTGCATTGTTCCGATAAATTCGTGTTGTTGTGTACCCTCGAAGTGATATGTGGCAATGAGCCAAGAAGGTTAGATCTACGAAGATTACCAGCAAAGCCACTACTCCCTAAAAATGTGTGGGCACAGTTGCATAGTTTGGTTTGAAGTATAAGTACGTCGTCGAGATCGTCCTGACTATAAATATAATTAAACAAATCCAAGATTTGAAAATAAGCACTTTGTAGTTCTTTAAAACAACGTACTCACCTAGCAGCAGATAAAAACTTCTGGAAAAGTCTATTTGGTACAGTTTTTGGTCTATCAACAGTATCAGCATAAAGATCTGTCTCTCTATTGTACAGATGCAAGAAATCCGCCAACTGTTTGGCCGTGACAGCAGCTCTGTCTTTATCATCCAATTTACTATTTGGCAACTAAAACGCAACAAATGGATATCATTGCAATTTACACGATGCACGAAGTAATCAATAAAACTTTTTAAAATTACTCACTGTGAACGAAAATGGCGTTCGTAAATTACTCGCCGATTGCTGTAAAAACTTGGCTACAAGGTCGCAGCAAACAGGATCAGGACTCTGTTGTGAAATTTTGCGAAGTATATAACCTAAATACAAGCCGAAAGCTTTTCTAGCTTCTCCAGGACTATAAATATAGAAATTGTAAATATTTCCAAGGAACGTTATAAAATGTAATTGGTATAGTATGTATCAGCGATTACCTCAATTTACTACCCTCGTGCATGAGCTGCATGACTTGAGCTTTGTACTTATGCGTATCGATATCAATATTTTCTTTACTGTCATTTCGGTCCAAGCTCTGCTTGTGTCCTTTGACCAAAGCTCTTTCGTATCTTTCAAACCTATCATCATCAAATATTTCACAATGGATTACAGCGAATTCCACACGCAAAGAGTTGCATTTGTCACGTAGCATCCATTTGTATATATATGTACACACAAACCTCGATAATCGATCCAGCTTAACTTCAGGAATAATGTAGCCGGCCGACCGGCTGGCAGCAGGGAATAATTGCTCGTGCAACATTAAATTATAATTTGTGCTCGATGAATGTTGTACTCTGCTGGGGCCAAGTGGATCTGTCACCACTGGAATACCCGTGACCGGATCTGCATTGATGAAAAAAAAGTCAGCAAACTCGGTTCGGGTGTTTAATTAGGCTGCAGGCATGAGAGTTACCTAAAAATTGCGAATACAATTCCCAGGACTTGGGACTAGGAAATATTAGAACAAATCCACCCCGGCGTGCAAATTGCGCTCGGGCCGACGACAAAATTCTCAGCTGCTCGGAGCTAAAGCCGGACTTATTAATACTGGGCTTGGTCGCAGTCTTCTTCTTCTGATTGAGAGCCTCTGCCGAATGAACTCTTCTACACTGAAAATTAAGAAGGTGAGATTATTCCGTGAAAATTGCAAAAATAGCACCGGCAAGGCTGATATATGCGACAGCCGGGCGCATAAATCAAGCGAGCACGAGGCAAAGTGCTTACGCTAGTCATCCGTTTGGCCGGGTTGACAGATTTATGCGGATGCGAACTTTTCGGGCGTAGTATGGGATCGATGGCCGGCACACCGACGAGCGTCAACAGATCCGCGATCAGAGCCGACTTCACTCTCACGTCCAGCGGCGAGTCACAGCCGAGGGATGGCGTTAAGTTGACTTCGAGTAGCCATGGCTTGAGGGTGTCGTCGATGAGGATGTCGAAGCCAAACAGCTCTGCAATTGATGCGGTGACGTAGTATTCAAGTTTCTCCGTGAACCTCGTGTAAAATGCTTACCGAAGCAGGTGTCGGGATGCTTGACGAACTGCTTGATCCCGCTTATTATTCCCGAGGCAGTTGCCAGGATGGACTTGATGATAATATCCTCGATGCGTTGCATCAACAGCTCCGTATCTTGGCCTATTGATCGCAAGTGTCGCAGCAACGCTGACAACGTCCATTTGTGACCGACATCCTCTGCGTCCGGATCTTCGCTTCTGTACACATCGGTTTTTAAATTAACCGATAAGTTTGTAATACTTTTTCCGATATCTATGAGCTTGTATATTTACGTCTGACGATTCATATATATATAGATGGAAAGACTATATCGATTATTGATAGAGAACACACTATTTATTTTCACGCGTTTGTAAAAAACTTTAGCATTAATAGTGCGACATACACAAAATATAGCAGTCTAACGGTCGCAGTTGTTATCGATAGCGAAACAATGCGTAAATTGCAAGCAGAACAAGTCAACTCACTTGACGTAATCGACGTGGAACTTGTTGATGCTGTAGTTGCAGAGATGCATACATGGATTCCAAATGTACTGATTGCCACCGTCGTATTTTACTGTGGCGAATCTCACCAGTCCCTCTTCGTAAAGGTATATCAACAGCGGATCGTAGCTCGTCACCGTCACGTACAATCGTAAATCGCACTTATGACCGTCCACCAGCAATGGATTATTAATGTATTGAGCTACAATCACCGATTCGTCCGTTAGGATTTTTTCCGGCTGAAAATCATAACCACTGAATAAATAAAATGTCTTACAAGGCTTACACCGATTACTTGTTAAAAATAGGCGAGAAGTGGAACTGGAATTCAATGTAAATAAAGAAACTATACAAATGGTAATTCAATAATGAAATGAGTAATTATCGGCGCATTTTCATTATTTTGGTTAATTATTCTCTATAAAGTGAGTTTTAATTAGAAACTTTAGAGACTTTCAATTTTATATCTATTTATCACATGACATTGCCAATTTGCTATAAAAGCGAGATGAAAAATTGAAAATGCACTGTCTAGACAAAAAAGAAAGCAAATCACAATCCGAGATAAAAAATAAAGAAAACTACGACTTACACTATTGACGATGTAGATACCTCGTCCACGCGAACTGGCTTTAGGTTTGACAATCCAAGGTCCTCTGTACCTAAAGTGGGCCGTAAGTAGTTCTCGCGACTCGTTGGGCAGCAAAAAAGTCTGCGGAATAAAGTCGAGATTGCGCACGCCTTTGCTGCGCTGCATAGCCTCGATGTTTTTGTACAGACGGTCCTTTCGCGTTATCTCGTAAGATCTGTGAAAAAGAAAAAAAATCAGCACCCGTAATGATACAATCATGCCGAGTCAAGAGTTCATAGTACTGGACGATCTTATCTCTGCCTGTTTCTCTCTCTCTCTCTCTCTCTCTCTCTCGAGGATGTTTGAGGAGCGTGACTTCTGTGAATTTTTCCTGTGTCGTTATTTTTCTTTCGAGAGGATTTTTTTCTTTAGTTCGCAAAAGAATTTTTTACACTTGAAACATTATACGAATTTAAAAGAATATGATTAAAATAACATTTGTTTGTTGAAGCTTTCGTATAATCGTAGGAGAAGCCTTTGCTACTCCAACTTAAGTCAACGTTGACGCAATAGGAAGTTGGCAACATGCTGTTAATAGTAAAACTTTGTGTGCATACTTGAAAGTTGAGTTTTTTCCGATAAAAATTTTTTCACGCCTCATACGCAACGGCGCCGTTTATAACTCCAGAGTATTTTTAATTAATTGTAATAGACGTGAAAGCACATTGTTTCTTCTTTTTTTCGCGAATGAATAATGCAAAGGCGCGCTCACTCCCTAATCAAATTAACCACGCAGTAAAACTGGTTTATTATGATCGTGGCATGCAAGTTTACCTTGGAAAGTGGTTAACTTTTTGATAAGGCAGCAGATTACGAAGCACATCGGGCTTCGGATGGTTGCCCATCCATAGAATGTTGAACGTTGGCTCATTCATGGAAACCTGCAACAAAGAGAAAATAAAGCTTACATCCTGCTCATAACGTTCATTTACAATTCGATCGTGTTTTAGGCGCCCCAAGTGCTGAAAGCTGCTGTGGTTTTTCATTCTCACTGACTTCTTGTAATAACCTCGACGCAATAGGGTTACTTCACGGTCGATTAATTCTAAACAAAACTCCGTCTGGAGTGCATAGAAAAACAAATGGGAATTGCAATTTGTCGAAGGCAAGAAATTATTGTATATGAGCAAAAAGGAAAAGCGCCGTGCAATTGGCTTTTTTCATCGCTTCAAAGATTTCTCTCGGTGATCGACCGTCCGCGCAATGAGATTTTTTATTTTGTACAATGCAATCCAAACATAACGGCGAACAGTCGCGCGACCTTGCACGCACCTGGAGAGGCTTTTAAAAAAATATGACGACCGCTTGGTGAGTGTACGTACATGCGGAATGAGCACACTGGCGAATCTATCCGTCTCGTAGGGGGGCATTTTAAGTGCGCATGTGCGTTGGATTCGCAAGATACCGAGCGACAAATTGAAAATGACACATGCAACGAACCTATTCGTTTGTTTGATTTTTTATGAAAAAGCTGGAGCTCGTTAATCAATCGACGCACGGCGAAGCGAAAACCACAATCGCGAATCGCGCACGATATGCATTCTCCGATAGTACGAAGAATACCAAACTCCTCGCGACGATTTCGTACAAAGGGTCGAATTCGCGCGCTTACGTCAACAATTCGAAAACCACACACGCGCCCGACAATAAGATTGCGTTTTAATTCCAAGGGCAAGACGAGCAGCGCGTTCGTTCGATCCTTCCTTTTTTCCTTTTTATATTTTTTTCTTTTCGACGCATGTACCCGCAAAACAGGCTAATCGATTAGTCACGTATTGCACGCGTGTCGCCATTGTAACGGCTGTATTTCCGCGAGAGAACCCATCGCGCGCACGTGAATTGAACGCACTCAAGGCTATAATGCTGTTCTGTTATGTACCGCGCGACCACCGCGGCACACGATTTGTCCGCGATAAAAGTTTGATTGACTATCAAACGTTCCACGTTTTAGAAACAAATTTGCTGTTTGTTTTTTTTTCTTTCTTAATTGATACGTGATCGTTTGAAACGGAGGGTATAATCATCGTCGCCACGCGAGAACGTTGTTTTGCTATAGTTGTCGGTAAAAGCTATCGACCTTGCGCGATTGGCAAAAAAGAAAAATAAAAATTAGGCGCGATTACTATTTTATTGAGGAAGGCGGCTTGCTAATTGCACGGCACTCGTCGTGTCCACGTCTGTCCGTCGCATTCGAGTGCCCGTTGGCGCGCTAATGGCCGTGTGACAATTGCCTAGGCAATTCAGCGGGGAATAAAATTGTATTTCCTCGAGCGATAATATCGCGCGCGAGGATGCGTCGGCCGACGCATTTAGAATCCAGATCCGACATGACGACTCGATTCCGCCGACAAACTCCACTCGACAAACGCCATTCCGTAATATTAAGAAAGTTCTCGCGCCTCGCGCGCGTAATAAAGACGCTTATCGAACAATGAGAGAGCGATTTATCGACGACGCGCTTGCCATTTCGCCGCGGCAGCTTTTTACGATTGGCGTATTAAACGGTCGCTCGCGCGCGCACGTCGAGAGGTGTCGACGAGCTGTAAGCGGCAGCGATTGACACCGTTCGTTGCCAAAGTAAATACCCGACGCTCGCGATCGTCAGTGTTAATTTTACGACTGTAATTAAGCGTCATTATCGTTTTCGGATTGTCGCGCAGCTGATTTTTATGCGCGGCAAGCATGACACACGAGACGATTTTGACGTATATAAACGCGCAGTCAGATGGCTTTTTGAAAAACACCGAGGTTTCAGAATCACAATTATTAACCAACATCGATATCTTCGGGAAGACGTTTCTACGTGCATTTCAATGGGATTTACTAGTCCTTTGATATCTCATATGCGGATATTTATATTCTGTAATATTACCACACTTGGGTATCAAACGTATTCAACAAATCATTTCCGACAGCACAAAATCTCTAGATAATACGATGACAAAGCGTGTAAGCTCGTTATAATTTGCATATAAATCAATACCTACTTTAATGCCGAGCTAATGTGTATTAATGTCAACAGCGAAATAAGACATATTTCATAACATACGCGTGATTTTTTCTGTTTTCGTGATGATCCCGACCATTATCGTATTAAATTATACAGATGTAATGTTACATTAAACTCGACGCCGTGTATTTCACGTGAAAATAAAAGCCTGCATTTCATCAATGGAAAAACTGGATCTTCCGAAACGCGAAAGACGAGAGAGAGAGAGAGAGAGAGAGAGAGAGAGAGAGAGAGAGAGAGAGAGAGAGAAGAAAAAAGAAACCTGGACGACTTTGCAAATTGAGCCCATATTACAAACGTTCTTTTATAAAGCGATCTCGCCGCGCTTGCAGTCTCGGCTGTAGACTGGATTCAAGCGGAGAGCGACGTGACCATGAACACGCGTTCAACAGCGAGCTCATTGACTTTTGATTTGATGTCAAATCAGCACGTGCTATAGTCGTTCGATCTCTGCAATCATTACGTCAGGAATAAAGTGTATCATGTACTTGCTATGTGCGGACTTTTTCTCTCTTGTCGTCATTCACTCGACGCTGTTCAAAGATCTTTCTGTGACTTGTCTGGCCTGCCTCTTTCCTTTCTCTTTTCATTTATTTATTTTTTTATTTCGACCAAAGTATTTATGGCTCCATTGTCGGATTCACGATCTGCGCGACAAGTAAGAAAAACAAATCCGACAATAGAGTGTATATACGATCGAAATGGTTTTATTGTAATTGAATTCCACGGCTACTGATGAAATAAATGTTCGCTGGATTCTTTTTATTTTTTTTTTGTATTATAGAAAGTTTGAAATTATTATTGTGCCAGCTGGAAGTTTTTTATGCGATTGGTTATTTTTAGCAAGTTTTTATCTTTTCTAATTATATAGGTTCAATCGGATTACTTAGTTGAATTTAGTGGAGGAAGTGATATAAATTATGTTCTTTGGAAAAGACTATCACGTTAATTACCTAATTTAAAAGAAATAACTGACATATTTTCATCACGATTTATATAGAACGTACGTCTAAAATTATTATTATATTGAGCATCATAATCGATTTTTTTACCATTAGATTACATAAATTTGCAGACGGACGAGCGGGGTACGGAATCATTTGAAAGCCTTTTTGGTTTTTTTCGTTACGCTTTTTAATCATTACCATTCGTGATCGACAGTTGGCTTTCGCTACGCGCAAAGTTTCAATCGCGCGCGCAATGACCGTTCAAGATATGAGACCATAAATATTGCGATTGAAATTTTCCCAATGAGCATCTTGTGTCGCACAGAAGTAATCGTCGCCGCATATGTGTTACAACCTGTCACCGTGTCGCGCAATAATATACTGCGTCTTCGATTGGAGAAAAAGTCGTACGTTAAACGCTGACGAATGACTCGTCGAATAATCATAAGTTTGTGTAATAACAGAAGAGAGAGAGAGAGAGAGAGAGAGAGATTAAACAATTATCTGGCAGAAAAGTTTGCGAGAGATTAACGTGCATACAATAGCACGCAGAGAGACTGTCCAAGCTGTGCGTGATTCATTCGGTCACGGTGATATAGATAAACGTCGACTCAACGCACAAAAGCCAAGTGCAGCGTGTATTGCGATGAGTTCGTACCACGTGCGAATTCAGGCGTTTCTCGGTTACACGAACACTTCGTCGTCGTTATAATGTCTGTTCGTGTTAGATGAGCTCGTTTACGCGCGCGTATCGTTTTCCGACTGCCACCGCCAGCGGAACAGCGTCACCGTTGAGATCGTATCTGTGGTTTCCTCTTTTACGCGCTTCGCCAAAAAAGCCATGCTTGCGATCTTAAATTAGCACACGACGTGTCTGCTTTTTTTTTCCCATCGCGGGAGATCGACAAGTGTATGTATGCGCCGAGCGTGTGACTTTGCCCATCAGTTTTTTTCTTTCTATTTTTTCGATTGAAAGAAAAATTTAACGTTTCCGTGCATCTCATTACGATGGACACGTGTTTCACATTGCTGATCGATGGTCATATATATTGACGAGTACTGCAGTCCCGAGGGAAAACGGCAGCCATGAAAATAAGGAAAGATTCGCGCGTTTATCTTCGTCAATAAGATGAACAAAGGCATCGCAATATTATCCCAACCTAATTATTGAAGTCTAATAATACTTCAAAGAAAAAGCGAGTCCAACTTGAAAGCATTTGACTTTATCGGTCACGGAACTAATAACGATCGTCCTGCATCGAGAGCTCGTAATTGTCAAGCATAGCATCCGCTGCACTTGGTCCGAATGAAAAAAGTTTGAATTTACCGCTCGCGAGAGAGGCAGAAGCCCAAAAAGCGAAAGAATGCAATCCGTTTACCGCATACTCGTTCGTCAGGCTCATCCGGTTTGAACCAGATTTCAGCTGGGACTTTAACATTGTGACCATATCGATCCGATAGAAACTTTACGCGAATGCCCTTCCTACCCCCAGAAAGTTGGACCAATTGGCAGCGCGTCGTTTTTGCGAGTGTAAAACAGATGACGCTTGACGGATCTGGCACTTTTGGTCTAGCGATCGATACTCCCGAGGAAGTCACGCTGCACTCCGATCGCATCCTCGGCTCGCGGAGACAATCGAAAGATAAACTAGCCGAAATATTTTAGCAGAAGGTCGCAGTGAACAATAAAGCCTCTCACCGTACAAAAGCGTGTACACGTAGTTTGGCCAGTGTCTCTGTAAGCTTATCTCTCTCGAGCCGTGGAAATAGTCGTCCGCCGTATCCGGAAGCAAAAGCGAATGACGCCAGCGGAGAGAGGGAGAGGGCACGCCGACGCGTACTCGGCTTTTCAAGTCACGGAACTTCTAAGGTCATCCACTCCCACCATCGAAGCCAACGGCAACGTCTGCGCGCGAGTGAAACT